TTTATTAAGAGAAATGCTATACTTGGAGGAGTTGGACTACGGAATTAAGATTCAATAATTATACTTTACGATGAAAAAAATAAAACTTCACACCAGAAAGTCGTCACCATTTCCGCGAAGCTGTGTCCGGCGAGATAGAGTTGATCAAGTGAAATAAGGAAATCCGATGAAATTGACACTATTCTCTCTGAAAAACGGTCTGATCACATATATCATCAAGTAATTAACTATTTACACGTAAAGAACGAAAACTACGGTGTTTGTTTTCCTCAAGAGGCGTACTTAAGAGCAGGAATTAAGAAAACAGCGCGAGATGAAAGTGTTTGTCAATCCTCCCGAACACCGTCATGAAAGACTACAGGTGTAGGAACCATGTTATAGTAGTTGACATAGTGCTAATTGAAGCCAGTATTTACGGTCGTGGTGTGGTTGGTATTTTATTTAATCACGAAGGAAACCCCACAGGGTATCATATAAAACAGCTTTGAGCTCACAAAATCGCTATAGAAACTAATTATTAAAAATAGAGTGTTTTCTTTAACACTTGTTCCAAGCTTTGGCCCTATTTCAATATTCATTGTTTCATCAAAATAATTGATCGGTCGATATTAGAAATAATAACTTGCATTCGATTACAACGCATTACAACCTGTTTACATTTCCCCTTCGAGGAGTTTTCCTCATTATAGCTTAAGAGCTAAATGTAATATCTTGATTAAATGTCCTTGAAACTGTCTTGTTTTTATCAACACACGCTATTCAACAAACAAGTATGAGAACAAACCAGAAGTTGATATCTTTGAAACTCAATCCATTTCTGTTCAATAATCTTTCATTGTTATTCAATAAATTCCAAAATTTACATTTATTTTTTTGCCTATTGCATGTAAAATGAGATTGGTTAGGAGATTGTTAAAATAAATTAAACAATAACTTGTTTAATGAAAACAGTAAAAAAAACATCTTATAACAACCATTTTGACAGCAAGGCAAAAACAAAAAACAAAGGCTGCATATCACCACGACTCTTAAAGATGCGTAAGGCAAAATGTGTTGTTTTTTTTTTAAATCAAATGTTTTAAGTGGAATATCGATGACGTCATTTCAAATTGCATCTTAATTCTAGAAGAATACATATGAACTACTCAATATAGCATTATAATTTCATGAAATGATAGTTTCATTTCATTTATTCGTTTTGCATTGTGCAGTAATTGCTAAATTATCTTAAGAAATATATGAATTTACAAGTGGGTGTGATTGCAAATTAGCATGAAATGGTATGTAACGAAAACATGTCCAGTAGATAATGAGTGTTGTCCTCAGTGATGGGTATGTGCAGTACGGAGTGTGTGTTGCACTCACTGGCACATTTGTGTAGGTATGTGCAGTGCAGATTATGTTGCCCCAACTGGTTTGTATTTTAGCATACATGACAGTGATAAGCTCGTTTGTGTAGACTAGGTTTTGTGTTGTGACGAAGAATTTCACTTTTCGCATGATCGAAGAAAAAACATCTTATTTGATTCACGGCTGAACTTTGTCATTAATATTCCGTCTTTGCGTATTGCAGAGTTATCTTCTCTTGTGAGCAGGTATTGATTGTTACGTCATTGGTTTGTGTGAAAAATTACGTCGTTTTCTCAAAAATTGATGACGTTACTCTAAAAAACAAATGACGTAGCAATCAATACTTGCTCAAAAGAAAAGATAACTCTGCAATACGCAAAGACGGAATACATGTATAATCATTTCTTGTTTTACAAGTCGATGGTGATTTTAAAGGCACACTCACCTGTGGGTGTGTTCAATTCATCATTCAAGATACCAGGTGGTAGACTCTGCTGGTGGTAGACTCTGCTAGTGGGTTTTTAGTCCCCGAGGTTTGCAGTAACCTTGATGGCCAGTGTTATCTTTTTTGAGTAGTTGCACGGTTCACGACACTTTACAGATTATTTAATTTGATATTTTCCAGTTTACCTTCAAATGTTCATGTTAATAAGTTAATGGGTTGTAAGCACCTTTTGTCTGTTCCAACGGTAGTTTGTACATATGTATTACAAAGTTTTTGGTCCCCAGCATCTCCGTTGAGTCCTAGAAGGACGAAATAGCTGTAAGATGCAGTGTGAGTTTTGGTATACTGCATCTAATAATATACAACATTTGATATAGCGCCCTATCTAGCTAACATAAGCCAGCCTAAAGCGCTTTACAGTACATAGTATTACCACATTGTTATGGTGCAGTAACTTGTGTGTGTGTTACGTCCATCTTTAAATGATGTTAAGATAACTATCGACCAAATGAAGTGTCAGCTCTCATTTATAACAAAACAAATTGCAATTTTTAACTGATGATGAACTTTCTATTTAAAATCCCCTATGATATTATGCAAAATATGTACTGCAAAAACATCAAGTTGCAACTTGTAGATTGGAGAAAAACGTAAGATCTATTATGATCATTGATTATGATTTCCCTAACTTGCTGAATTGAAACTCAAAAGCAGATTATTATTAAGATCAGTGTTTTCAGTGTCAACCAGATCTGTTTCTGAATCAGTGAGCATTCAAAATTCAAATCTTTGTTCATTGAATATTTCCGTTTTAACGTCAATGAGGTGATTTTGATATAAAGACAACAACTTTTGAGATACCAGGTTAAAAAGAACTAATCGTCCATATTGATTTTATGAACAAAACTGACACTTTTGTTTTAATTATCACACAAGGTCATCGATTTTATAATGCAACATTAATAAGTACACAGTTCAAAACAAAGACAGTTTCCTGGAATATTTCAGAGATAGTTTTGTTAAATATGTAAAGGGTATTGATTAAACTAACGTTACTAATAAACTGTAAACAAAATAGTTGACTTGCTGACGAATGTGAACAGAGAACTCCCTGAGGCGTCAATCAATGGTGTTCATTTATTTACAAGCCATAATGTGTAGTGTTCACACGCTTTTCATGTAGTCTCCTGTCTGCTACCCTAGAGTATGACCCAGACCAAGTGTTTGCGAAATGCAGTGACATTATAACCCAGACCTCAAGTCTCACACACACCGCTACGGTATAATACAGACCGTACAAACACTCGTCTCTCAGACACACCGCTACGGTATAATACAGACCGTACGAACCCTCGTGTCTCAGACACACCGCTACGGTATAATATAGACCGTACGAACACTCGTGTCTCAGACACACCGCTACGGTATAATAACGACCGTTCGAACACTCGTGTCTCAGACACACCGCTATGGTATAATATAGACCGTACGAACACTCGTGTCTCAGACACACCGCTACGGTATTAAGACCGTACGAACACTCGTGTCTCAGACACACCGATACGGTATAATAAAGACCGTACGAACAATCGTGTCTCAGACACACCGCTACGGTATAATAAAGACCGTACGAACACTCGTGTCTCAGACACACCGATACGGTATAATACAGACCGTACGAACACTCGTGTCTCAGACACACCGCTATGGTATATATAATATAGACCGTACGAACACTCGTGTCTCAGACACACCACTACGGTATAATACAGACCGTACGATCCCTCGTGTCTCTGACACACCGCTACGGTATAATACAGACCGTACGAATCCTCGTTTCTCAGACACACCGCTACGGTATAATATAGACCATACGCACACTCGTTTCTCAGACACACCGCTACGGTATAATATAGACCGTACGCACACTCGTGTCTCAGACACACCGCTTCGGTATAATACAGACCGTACGAACCCTCGTGTCTCAAACACACCGCTACGGTATAATACAGACCGTACGAACACTCGTGTCTCAGACACACCGCTACGGTATACAGAACGTACGCACACTCGTTTCTCAGACACACTGCTACGGTATAATACAGACCGTACGCACACTCGTTTTTCAGTCACACCGCTACGGTATAATACAGACCATACGCACACTCGTTTCTCAGACACACAGCTACGGTATAAAATAGACCGTACGAACACTCGTTTCTCAGACACACCGCTACGGTATAATACAGACCGTAAGCACACTCGTTTCTCAGACTCACCGCTACGATATCATACAGACCGTCCGAACACTCGTATCTCAGACACACCGCTACGGTATAATACAGATCGTACGAACAAGACTATACATTTTATAACTGAACTGCTAACTAACTTGAATTTATTTCTATTACTACTACACTGACGAGAATATCAATAAGCTATCGTACTGATGGGACTCAACTATTGCACTAACGACACAGTAGCATTGTAACTACCATACCGAACAGGCTGTACCACCACGTATACTACTATACACAACAGACTGACAAGATTGCATCGCTAAAGTACTACATCAACAATATTGTATTTCTGCAATACTGCACCTATAAGGAAACCATATTAAAATTACTGAACTGTCGCGCCTACTAGGCTGTAACTATGTACCGCTAGATATACTTATCAGACTATAAATGTACTACTGCACACTGTAACTTACTCGTGCTGCATTAACAAGAATATCACTTTACTGCTGATTAACAAGGCTGTTTTACTTAATTACTACCTTAGCGAGACTCTATCACAGAAGTACTGTACTAACAGGATTACATCGCTCAAGTACTGCATCAACAATATTGTATTACTGAAAAAAATGTACTAACAAAACTTTAATGGAAATCACTGCACTAACAAGTATATAACGCGGAACCACTGCACTGTAAATGTACCTTAACTGTGTTACTGGACGTCTTGCACTAATTAGACTCTTTCTCTAGGTAGCGGAACATATACTTTTCATGTGATTTTATCGATTGTTTTCAAGGTATCACACGTATACCATGTGTAGCACGTGATGATCGGCAACATGGATGTGCATGTCAATTTTCTGAGCCTGAACTTGTATCCAACATGTAAACCTTTCGAGGATAATTAAGCGCTGATTGAGTGGTCACGTGATCCCGTGACTGGCGGACATGCACGCGACGAGGCAACCAGAGTAATACAACTAGTGTGGCTATTATCCGCCTTAGTGGTCACTCAAGGTTTTGTTGTGATAAAAATACCAACATATTGGATTCTTTCCATACGAGAACTGTTTTCGTTGTATGTTTCTGGAACTAAGGTAAGGGGGTTTTGGTGGTTATGTCTCCGTAGACAGTATGATTGTGTGTTACTATGATGGAGACCAGTATACTTCTGGCACTGTGCTAATACATGTAACACATAACAATTATAGTTTGAAGTGGCACATTCAAGGTATGGTGTTAATATCACTAGGATAAAGTTTACCTGATGTGATGCATATGTCACACTAGACAGTATCACATCGGCTTCATGTCACGTGACAGAGTATAACATTAAGTTGATGACGAGGCACACTGTGATGTCGTGTGTCTGTCTCTTGACACAGTATAATGTTATGTCAGTGTCACGTAACACAGTACAACATTATGTTAATGTCACGTGACAACATTGTGTACATGCCACATGGCCAGGTATGTCTTTATTAATTATATGTGGCATAGTATTACACTGTGGTAATGTCACAAAACACAGTATAACATAATTTTGATATTGCAGAGCGCATTATACCTGTTACATGGTGTTTATGTCACATGGAAAAGTATAATAGTATTGTACTTGTCGTGACATTACAGTGGTATCGAATATATCTGGTGATATTAAACCGCTGCGCAGCACATTGAGCATGTTACAGTTGGTAATATACATATCGACACAAAAGGCCAAGTAAGAACGAGACTGGTTACACTTACCGAAAAGTAAGGTATAATACAAGGATACGTAATATTTTAACACAATATGATGATTGCAACAGTTAGGTATAATATGTGACCTTTGTTTTCATCCGGCGAACCGGTACTTAGTTTATATTCCTGCTTTAATCCTTTGAAAGCTCTATTGAAATGGTTGTGTTTTTTTTCCCTGCTGTGATCGTTCATTTTGGTTTGTTTCGTATTATCGCCTTTCGTTTGTTGTTGCTGTCATCATAGTTCCTTTCGTTTGTTTTTCTCTGCTGTGGCAAATTTCTGAAACACCGTTTGTTTTTCTTCTTTTATAGCCGGAACGCTCAAGTTCTTTTAATATTTTTACGAAATTCTCTCTGTGGTTTGACCTGCTTTCGCAATTCCTTGATTTTGATTATGATCTAATAGTTCGTTCAGTTTTGTTTTCTTGCTGTATTTATTTCTAGTTTTAAACTAGGTTACGTATCCTTGTATTATACCTTACTTTTCGCTAAGTTTAGTCAGTGCAGTGGATAGCGCACTTGCCTTTCACCAAGGCGGCCGGGGTTCGATTCCCCGATCGGACGTAAAAAGGTATGGGGTCAAATGTCCGACCACGTGGGTTTTCTCCGGGTACTCCGGTTTCCTCTCACATTAAGACCCATCGCGCGCTAACATCCGGTCCACCAGGAGTAATTTATATTAGTTGAAATAACTTGTTTCATAGTTGTTATAAAATAAATAAAGTTTATATTTTTAAACTAAGCTGGATGTTCATTTTGTTTCATTGTTACTACAGTGGACATTTCTTGTTTTCGACTATAATTTATATGTTTCTCCCCTATCGTTTGCTTGCTGTTACAATTTCTTGTTATCGATTATGACTTGTTTATTCGTTCTGAGTTGTTTCCTGTAGTGTTGGCTTCATCCGAAGACGCGTGTTTTAATCTGCGTTTCCCCATCACTGTGTATGATCGCGGGTCCCTTTATCTATCGGCAATACTTCCCCGCTAGGATAAAATGTACCAGTGGTTAGTCAACACTGGTTGACAAGCATCGGTACCCGATTACGATATAGTGATTACGTCTCGTTCGAAACGAATACAAATTATTTATGTATCTAAATTTAAACTCCATAGCTGCACCATGCAATTATCACTGTATCTAGTTCTTGTAGGTCGCAATGCTATACTTCGACGGTTTTTTTTATTATCAAAAACAGTCAAACTTATTTATACTGCCAGCGATTGTGGCGTTATAAAGGAGTTTGGCGATAAAGTGAGGAAAATTTGTAAAGGAACTATTAATAGAACGAAAAAAGTGACATTGAAATATGTTGGCGGTAATCGAAGTGGCAAATGCAAGGAGGGCAATTTTATCGAGGGTTAACTGAACATAGTGCTAAGTCTGGAGTTTAAAAGGAATTATCTTCATATCTCATGTACCACAGAACATCAAGAAAACATGCAAATAAAGTGGTTCCAATAATGAGTGAGCTGATTTCAAAAGGATGACCTTACATTGACCTGGTTTCTAGCCCAATCACAGCACTGACCGTGTCTGTGTTAGTTTACAAGATAACATAGACATGTGATCGCCTCATTTCCGCAAAGACATTTTCGAAATAGTAAACTATATTTTGGAAATGTCAAACAAATCTGTGCGAGACTCGTGTAAGATTGCCTTGCCTTTCATACATAACACAGTTGGTATAATTCTGTTTTTCACATCGATTTTGTGTTATGTATTCAAAACTACTTTTTAATGATGATATCATTACAGGTTGTCACAAGGAGTACAAGAACAGATAGAGGATTGGCAAAAATATGTGTGTACCGAATCAACATCAGACTGTGCTGACGACACATTAGTTTGTTTCTATTTAACAGAAATGTATTGTTTCGTAATAATGGTTTATAGTAATTGGAGTTTGTGTTGACATAGGATCAGTCTATGTAGACATAAGATCAGTTTGTGTTGAAGCGAAACAAGTTTGAGTCGACATAAAACCGGATTGTGTCGCACTGATTACGCAATGAATGTTTTAGCAAATGTCGTGATGGTCCTATAACACACATTACAATTGATAACAGACTTAATAATGCCCGGCAGGGCTCTATGTAAATTTGTCGGCAAGAGAAATGTGTGTAATAGGACCGTAACAATATTTGTTAAAATATTCATGATTTATATTTTGATAGAGTAGTTACGCTTTATTTAGTTATTTAGAATAGTTCTTTGAACAGCAAAGTAAGTCTTGACAACAATGAAATTGATGCCGTCGCAATAGAGATTGATGACGTTACAATAGCAAATGTTATTATAGTCTCATAACAATATTTGCCTTCTCAATGCATTGCAAGGATGCAGAGCAAATGCAAATATAATACCATCAATCACATAAAAAGATAATAAAAAAAAACAGTTTGCGAAAGAAACATTCGCAACTTCTTGGCATGATGTTTTCACGGTCATTCATCGCGAAGACATCAGGCTGTTCTACCTTACAGCACCAACCGTACGTGCTGCAGTTTTTCTCCTTGCAATATTCTGCAAATGTCATAATGATACGACTCTGAAAAGATAACCACGTTTCTAAATGAATTGACCAGACAGACCAATCAACATCGGTTGCGTAACCGTAGTCCCAGTCGAGTCGACATTATTGAACATGTCACGTGATCAGTGTCCATAATAAATCACGTCATGTGACAGAAAAGGACAATGTCAGGATGGTGAATGATAAAATCTATTTTAATATTCAGCCCTGTGGGGACGAAATGGAAAGATCTCCTCCGTGATTAGATGTGAAGCACAGCATCATCTTCTCTCGATCTCAATAACAAGGTCAGTTCGTCACATCTTACTCTTTTATTGTCGTCTGGCAACGAGTGGTTGAATTGTTAAGCAAAGTAACGACTTAGACCGGTTTCCGCCGCGGAGGGCCATTTCCCGATACACCTGCTTCACCTCAATGTTTTTTTAAGCACTGTTAACGTATAAGTTTATATATGCGATGACAGCAAGCGCAATCTAAAATAAACTAGTTTTACTTTATGCGTAGGGCCTAAAAGCCAATATAAAAGGCGCAACATTTGAGTAATGGTTATCAAATACCACATCTGCCGTGTACAGTCATGAGGTCAGGGGTATAAATACCAGACTGTTTACCAGATATTTTGCCAACGGGTGATTCACTAGTATTTACGAGCACGATGGAATAAAACTGGCAATCGATTGGGAAAACGTATTGGCACGGTGTTTCAACTTTAACTCTGGCAATCGGGACCGTGGGCACTTTCCGTAAACGAGAAACTATATTCTCTCGTTTACGGAAAGTGCCGACGGTTCCCGATCGAAACGCAGATACGCGGATATGGACATGACACTGAATACAACAGCTCCTCGTGAATATTTACAGGAGCTTGTCATTCTGTATCAGCCGTCCCGATCACTGCGGTCGGAGACAGAATCCTTGTTGTGTGTCTCTAAATCTCGTACTGTGACTTATGGAAAGCGGTGTTTTGGAAGGGTTTTGACCATGTTGTGTACTAGCCTATCATCTGGTACCGGGAAGTTAACAAATTTGTAAACATTGAAGAAGGATATAAAGACCCAACATGTTTCGTCTCCATTTGAGGCTCTTTTGCGCTGACCTCATGTACACATCATCCTGTATATCTATATATTTATATGCAAAAAAAACCCACCCCAAACATCCTTGTGATGGTTACATATCAAAAATCAAATGAACAGAGTTTCTTAGTACGTCCCTAGCGCTTTCACCTCTTTAGAGGCTCGTCAGGGGAATTTATATGCATATGGAGATAAATGTCTTGTTACCTTATGTATAATGCTGATTTATATGCATTTTTTATCTACATTATTTATATACTGTCACTGTAGAAATAATATAGTTCATGTGTTATAAAGTGCCTAAGAGTTATTTCGCAAATTAAATAAGGAGCATTATAAATGTTGTTGATTGTAATATTATGTCGTTTCGTTGACCGACATTACCTGATTACATTTAGCCACAAGGAAGTTTTCAATCGTTGTCCATATCGTCCCACGTGTTTCATTAACCGATATATTAACGGACTATTGGCAGTAACTCCATTTACGAAGTGTCAGTTCTATTTATTTAATGAAACACCCCTCTACAACACCTCGGGGTACAAACCTAAGTGTATGTTGGTGCTTGTAGCTCGTCTTCGCAAGTTAAAAACATAATTGTATGAAGACTTTCCCAGCTTCATTTTACTAAGCTTATAATTTATCTCCCCCTAGTTTCAGACCTAAGGGGGAATAAGACATCCGAATGATTAAATTTATAAGATTTTTTGTTTTTAAATAATTTAATATTCTAGAGAAGGGGGCCAGTCTAACACAACTGCTAATGACGAGGTTTTCATATAGTGTTGTCTCTCATTGGCTATTTAAACATTTCATCACACTGATATTTCAAACAATGAATATGGTAGCATCACTCTTCATCCTGTCATGTAAATAATAAATAACAGACAATAAGCATTGTTAACGTTGACGTCACAATAACATTGATATTGGCGCCACAGCACAGCATCGTTTGTGCCACTTTTTGATGGGGCATTGATCATGTGTTCACGAAAGACAACTCTAGTATTTATGTACGTAGTAAACACGTTATTAACAGAATATTATATTTTTTTGGATGATTAACGGTTATATTTCATTCCAGGGTTAACTATTTGACGTTTGTATACCGTATACCAGGAAACCTTCGCCAAAGCATATATTCGCCCTTTTCCGATAAAATCCATGGTCGCCCAGTGTTGATGTCACCCTTTACATATTGTTACTATATAACGCATGTTGTGTACTAAAATGTGTTGTCATTATATATTCGCCCTCTTTTGAGAGGGCGAAAAGGGTAAAAGTAGCCGTTATACAGTAATTCGTGCTTCGTCATCGTGCAAAAGTATTTAAATCAATTGTGCCTAAATATCTAAACCTATCGTGATATGTTTAGTCAAATAACCATATAAATGTTTGTGAAATATTCTTGCCAAAAATAAATGTGTTTTGTGTATATCATTATATGCTCGTGATTAGTTTGAATGTCATGACATGTATGTTTTGTTTACAGTTTAATTAATTACGAAGAATTTTAATGATAAATTCTTAACAAAATATATCATTATATAGGTCTAAATCATTTTATCGTATATTCGTGTTTGTACATCCTCGATATCCAGGGGTTACGCTCACTTTCGCTCTCTACACCCCTGAAATATGTCATAGTAAAATTAAAGGCGCAAAGATAGCTGTTTGATTAGTGACAGGTAAAAAAAACCTGACCAATCGCTAGGCTAAGTCATGTTCTTTGATTTCAAGATTCAAGTTTATTTATTCACTCCAGATACACATTTCGTGTGTAACAGGAGGTCAATCTTCGGATACATTTTATAATGGCAGACCGACTGGAAAGATTGGTGTATTTTGAAGATTACAAAGGAGAGACGCCCGACTTCAAAACTGACCATTTTTACCGTTGCGTGACCGCAAGATTATTTTGATGTACATCAACGGATCGAACTAGTATTCTTGTCATACAACAAGGTGGCACACACTGAGCCTTCAACTTTGCTATGACATATTCCAGGGGTGCAAAGAGCGAAAGTTAGCGTAACCCTTGGAAATCGAGGATGGTGTTTGTACTGAAGGATGCCAACTACCACCAAGCCATCAGCGCACGTACGCTGTTTTACAGTCATATATTGCTTTGGGTCTGTGTTCCCTTGAAATAAAACCAGGCCACCAATCTTAGACTGATGCCGAAATAGCAAGATGACTACACAAGGACGTAAACGAGGTTTCGTTTCCTAAGAGATTTATGAAGTCTGGCAGATCTAATTTTTTCGACGCTATTTCGAGTTGCGCATCTATAGGATATGGAGACCAATCACGAACCAATTTTACCACATAACCAAGAATACACTAATATTCACACGGAAAGTATGTTTTTTTGGCCATCTTGAAGGCATCAACATCTACCATTTTGATTTCATATTCATTATTTTCGATGCAAAGGCACAATGACATGCATACAGAAATATTGTATACGGGATGGGGTCGAATTCATACTTGAAAGACACTCGATTAATCAATGTCTTAACGATACGCTATATAAAATTGCATCACCTACGATATTTTTAAAACACTTAACCACAGATACTAGAACCCATTTTAAAGTTAACGTTCTATAAATAAGAATTGTAAATCTTTCAGGGATCAAATCTCAATGTTGATTTTGTGAGGGAATAAGTTGGTAAAAGAGATAATTCTGACGTTTGGTTTGGTTTTATTTTGTTAAATGTCCTATCACATCTAAGGTCACATATTTACATTTGCATGGCATTGTCACTATATAGCCTCTTTGAAAGCTGTGTCGTTGATGGGACTTTAATTACCATGCATCACGAGACACAATTCTTAGCGTATTAATACAACACTGGCCGGAACTACAATATCCAATGTAAATAAACACGACGGCTGCTGAAATATCGCTGGGCATTGTGAGACTTGACAATGTCATTGTAAATTTATGTGCAAAATAAAAGATGAAAGAAAAAATATACTTTTATTACAACAAAAACAATACCAATGCCGGCAATGGAAACAATTTTAACGCTCATGCAATTTATCAGATATATCGTCTGTTACACTGCACTGATCAACAGGGGTTCGTTACAAATGTCTGAAATACACATATTCTATAGACCTACTGACACATATATTACAGACCTACTGATATGAGTCACAGTACATAAACATTTCAGACATTTGTAACGAGCCCCTGTGCTCCGTCGTAAGATCACTCACTTCAAACGCTATCAGTTTCACGCGTCTCGCCGCCACGGTTTCCTCAGTTGCTGACGACATGTCAAATAACGAGACTGTTATAGAATCTACCGACTGTAGTCAGATTCCCATACAATCAAAAAATAAATTCATGTCTGGATTTTTCACAAAATGAGCAAAGAGAAACTTTCGAATTAACTTCCAAAAATAACACCCTCGTGGAGGTCAATGTCGGATTCACGGTGTTCACTGTATTTATCCATGCACGTAATTTGTTCTGGGGGAAAATCGGAACAATTTAAAATCTAATTTTCAGCTCAGATTTCTATTGATAAACTTAAATCATCCTATAGACATAGCATACGCAATTGTATTGATACTGAATTGTGGAATAAAATTGAAGTGTTTGTTAAAATTTCAAAGTATTACTTTGTTTGCCAAAAGGCACGCGACAATACGCTGTTCAAATTATTGAACGAAATTGTTTGGACTGTCGATAAGGCGGGCATTTTTAATTTTAAATATGAATTATAAGTTAAAAAAGAACATAAGAGGCGGAGAAGACGTAAATATAAGTATTGAACTGTTTTTGTATGGTATTTAAGATCTATTTGAATGACACAGCTTTGCAAGCAAACAACATAATGCGCGCTAGTTCAATGCTTAATTAAGGACATGTCTCCATGTGTGTTGCGTATGCGTGTATGTGTGTATGTTTGTCGGAGACTGGGTATGTTGGTTTATCTGCTTCCTTATGATAGCACAGATCTGTTAAGCAGGGAGTAACAACTATACATCAGTTTTGAGGACTTTGATATGTCCTGGCCTGGGCACAGAACCCATTGCCTTCCTCACCTGGGCGAACGCCCAACATTAAAGCCAGAGGTGAGGTATTGCCAAGCAAGGCGCTAGGGAATAAAAGGTAGTTAGAAGTAGAGAGAAATATAAAGATTCCAAATATTGCAATGTGTGTAGTAGATTTATTTTGGTCCCTTTTTTTGTCCCGAAGTAGAGGGCAATAAAACAAATCCCCAATTCTGTAGGGGGTTCCCTCATTAGTCGCCTCTTACGACACAGGCAGTGGGCAACAGCTGGTGTATTCTTTTCTTGATCCCCGACCACCAGGGGTGTAATTCTGACGTCATATGATGTTATTACACAAGGTACACCAATAGAACGTGAGTGTATTCATTGTATAACATAGTAATCATGTGATAGATATAACACTACTTTTTAAAAAGGGGCGATGTAAACAGTTTCTGCTGGATATAATGTACGGACACTTTGAGAATTGTTCATCACCAGTGCGATTCACATGATAGGCTGTATCATAATAAAACGTCTATCCAGCGTGCCATATAATTGTCTGGGCTACTAGCCCGTCTCTTTTTTTTCTTAACAGGATTACATTGTACAGACTTTACCAACATATTCCTGATCCTGTACTTACGTGTATGATCTTTCTGTCGTTACAGATGGAGGTGCTAGGTCGGTTCGTCCGTACGATCGTCCGGAGAAAAACGATTGATAACAAGACATTGAAGGATTCCCGACTAAAAAGAGGACTCAACATATTCGACCTGGTCGGAATAGGTAAGGGTTACCTTTTACCCGAGTCTATTCCCAGAGTGTGCCTTGTCGATTTCTGCAGATTCAATATACCTTGTGCAGATTAATGGATATCCGAGAATAACTTTAGAAGGTCGCTTTTAATTATTTCGCGATGGGAGTAAAAGATTAATTTGTTTTCCTACATTGAACTTCTTTCGCTATAGCCATGAAACTTGAGCGACAAGGTCGGCGCAATTGCATAACGGTTTGCTACAGAGTTTGATGTCGGTATGCCCCGAATAATGGTTTGCTATAGATTTGGGTTTTAGCTCGGCACATACCGTATAACGGTTCGCTATAGAGTTTGATGTCAGTACGCCCCGAATAATGGTTTGCTATAGATTTGGGTTTTAGCTCGGCACATACCGTATAACGGTTCGCTATTGAGTTTTGTATCGGTCCCCCCGAATAATGGTTTGCTATAGATTTGGATTTTAGCTCGGTACATACCGTATAACGGTTCTCTATAGAGTTTGATGTCAGTACGCCCCGAATAATGGTTTGCTATAGATTTGGGTTGTAGCTCGGTACATACCGTATAACGGTTCGCTATTGAGTTTTGTATCGGTACCCCCGAATTATGGTTTGCTATAGATTTGGGTTTTAGCTCGGCACATGCCGTATAACGGTTCGCTATAGAGTTTGATGTCAGTACGCCCCGAATAATGGTTTGCTCTAGATTTGGGTTTTAGCTCGGCACATACCGTATAACGGTTCTCTATAGAGTTTTGTATCGGTACCCCCGAATAATGGTTTGGTATAGATTTGGGGTTTAGCTCGGTACATACCATATAACGGTTCGCTATAGAGTTTTGTATCGGTACCCCCTAATAATGGTTTGCTATAGATTTGGGTTTTAGCGCGGTACATACCGTATAACGGTTCGTTATTGAGTTTTGTATCGGTACCCCCGAATAATGGTTTGCTACAGATTTGGGTTTTAGCTCGGTACATCCCGTATAACGGTTCGCTATAGAGTTTTGTATCGGTACCCCCTAATAATGGTTTGCTATAGATTTGGGGTTTAGCTCGGCACATACCGTATAACGGTTCGCTATAGAGTTTGATGTCAGTACGCCCCGAATAATGGTTTTCTATAGATTTGGGGTTTAGCTCGGTACATACCATATAACGGTTCGCTATAGAGTTTTGTATCGGTACCCCCTAATAATGGTTTGCTATAGATTTGGGTTTTAGCTCGGTACATACCATATAACGGTTCGCTATAGAGTTTTGTATCGGTACCCCCTAATAATGGTTTGCTATAGATTTGGGTTTTAGCGCGGTACATACCGTATAACGGTTCGTTATTGAGTTTTGTATCGGTACCCCCGAATAATGGTTTTCTATAGATTTGGGGTTTAGTTCGGTACATGCCGTATAACGGTTCGCTATTGAGTTTTGTATCGGTACCCCCGAATAATGGTTTGCTGTTGATTTGAGGTTTAGCTCGGTACATACCGTATAACGGGTCGCTATAGAGTTTTGTAATGAAACACCCGAATAATGGTTTGCTATAGATTTGGGTTGTAGCTCGGTACATACCGTATAACGGTTCGCTATAGAGCTTTGTATCGGTACCCCCGAATAATGGTTTGCTGTAGATTTGAGGTTAAGCTCGGTACATACCGTATAACGGGTCGCTATAGAGTTTTGTAATGAAACCCCCGAATAATGGTTTGCTATAGATTTGGATTTTAGCTCGGTACATACCGTATAAGGTTCGCTATAGAGTTTTGTATCGGTACATGTACCCCCGAATAATTGTTTGCCGTAGAGTTTGGTTTCAGGTCGGCATGTCTCGTTACGTGTGCAGAAACGTATACAGGGTACAGCTCCATAAAAGGTACATTTGTGAAATATCAGCCAGTACTTACCTTTAAGACCAATCTGCGCAAGATATTCCTTGTAACACGGCACAAAACCCTTCTGATGCGATACCATCTATTAGGAAACCTTGCTCAAGAATTTTATTTTGATGCAATATCTGAACGCCAACAAAAACATTAATTAAAACCTATAGCAAACATAAGAAGGAGAATCTGCCTGAGAGGAGTCTGGAACGGTCTATTAAAGACAACCCTGACTTGTCGGTCAGATAACGCTGTATACATACGACAGTCGTGTACCTTAACGAACTCTCTTTATGGCCATGTAGATGTGAAACAAATATAGCTAACATCGTAAAGGTCCCGTCCTAATTGAGTTACGAGTTTCCCGCTGACGGCACAGAGTGGTGACTAAAGCCTAGTCAGTATAACGTATGGGGGAGTAGATTATCCGTCAATTTACGAATTACTAATAATCATTTCCTTAGACGAAATTCTTGAAAAAAATCCCTTATCAAACTGTGTATCACTGGGAAAGGAAACAATGTTTACAAGAACACTGACTCTGTTTCCAGTTGCAGACGTTGTGTTAAGAGATTCAAACTCGTTATAACAGGATTCATCATGGCGTCACATTAATGGCGTTCCATGGGTCGATTTGTATGTCGTTATACTGTACCTCGTTAGCGTGGGTCACGGTCGTGAGGGAGGAACACGTGACATTTTTATAAGTTGAACACTGAATTATTTGTATGTAACTACACGTATATATATTTTTATGTACTATGCTATGGTATAGAATGTTTGCCTGTCATGCACTCAAACTATGTTATATATACATGACCTCTTGTTACACATATTATGTGTGTCTGAGTGAAATAAAAATCTTGAAATCTTGAAAATCTTGTCACCGCAGGAGATCTATAAGCGTCTTAGAGCTTGAACTCACACATACAGCACACCTAGACAGCCGTTATATCTGGCTTTAATGAAACTGCAAAAACTCGACAGTTTTTTATCAGCAAATATTCACACTTGAAGAACGTCTGTAAGGTGAATCGATCTCAACACATCGCAGGCCTGTTTATGTATGACACTTAACTGTTTAATTGACGTCACTCTACAACGCATGTGATTGTCACGTGACGTTCGCTACACGTGCTGAGTGACATTTACTAATTAGGCCGTGATAATAAAATCACACGTGTCAGGGCGCTCGATTGTTGTAAATAAAAAAATTACAATAATCAAATTTGGATTTGGCTCCCTTGGGTAATTTCATTAAACGACCGAATTGCAGAGAAACTTGTAATTAGTTTTGTATTCGTGTTTTATTTCTGCTATGCTGTTTGTCCAGGCCGTATAGAGTGTTTGTCACTGTCGGGAAATACAATCTGTCAATTCCATGATTCCCAATACAAGCGATATAACCTGTCAAAATGTCACCATAAACGGTCTTACACTTGTAAAAGGTGGTGATTAGGGTAATTTCCGCTTTACGCCGTGGGCTTTGTTGTAGCGACAAATTGATAAAGAATAGATCATTTTTAACGGCGCCTTGTCGCTACGAAAAAGCGAAAGATGCTTTTCTTGCTACTTTAAAACATTATGTTCACCTCTCTACTTTGTTACGTCTGTCCATGTTATCGACTTCATCACTCTGTTTCACATCGATCTGTTATCTATACCAATATTACCATTTTGTTACACGTTTCTACTGTAAATTAGCTTCATGTTATTTCACATTTTTTATGTTTCACGAGTTACTCGTTCTGATAGCTGTATATCAAATATTAACAACCAGAGTAAACTTCAATGTTCCAAATTCCCATTGTTCATTGTAACAAGCGGTTACACCTTGGCTTCTTTACCTTTTTTGGTCAGACAAACCAAGCACGTGATCTTTCTATTACATAATGATAAGGTAACACTATGGTTACATAAGGATTGACGGAGAGTCAGTTTTGATTATTATTGCACACGGATGATGGTGATGATGATGATGGATGATGACGACGACGACGATGATGACGACAACGACGTGACGCGATACTTGTTGATTTACCATATTGTTAGATAGAGTGATCCATCGGGCAGCTCATAGAAAAAAATCCATGTCTTTTGTCCTCTTAAAAAAGATCGAAGAGTTCCACCCAATGGTAATCCAGACGTAGGAGTTATGGTACTTGTATTGTGTAGTAAATTGTACGTGTTTAATGATAACATTTTTTCTTTTGCTATATGACACATAACACACGTTTGATTACAGTTTACCGCTTTAAGGATCCCCGTACCACTGCCAAAAATGAAACTTTGGATACTGAGTGGTTTTTTCGGCAAGACTATCGCATTGATAAATCACTTTAAAAAACAAAACATTTCTTTGCTTGACTAATATGAGATATAATCAAAACGATATAAACAAATTATAAACAAAATATAAACAAAGTATAAACAACCACAGTGTTCCGAGTGTAAAAGAGATCACTGCGGAACCGGATTCGAACCCTGAACTTCCAGCTGCTGAACTATCACCATAACCGATTGAGCTACAGGATTTGGTCGAAGGAAGTGGCCTGGATGAATTGTTGTACAGTTATATACAAACGTAAGCAGTGGGCCTAGGATCCTTCAAACCTTCTCAGCTCGCAAACCTTTTTTTCTGATTTATTTTCGTGTCCCTAGCTCCATGCGTTGCATACTTATTGGCAATGTCATAAGTTTTGACAGATTCACTTCAAATCGAGACGAACTTATTGATTATGCAGAATAATTTTGTTCATGAGAGGATTCTTGAGCAACAAAGCGTTATACATTTTAATGAACTGAAGTGAAACCTCGCTTCCTATGCTATGTCGGTATTGAAATCAATTTCATATGAGATTAATGAAACCATACTAGAAACTTTCATTTTATGGAGGCCTTACTGAGCTTAAAAGAAAACTTCGGCACAAATTTCATCAATCTCAACTAATTCAACCGGGTTTATCATATTACCAAGAATTATGCAAATATTTCCGACAATTATTTCTCCAACCATTGTCAAGTTTTCACCTATTTTGTCTTGCTTTCGTTTGTATTGTTAGAATCTGACCTCACATTGCACAGATTATTGACAGTCCGTAATAAACAGCGTAAAGCAGGAATTACGTGTTGTTCAATGTTGTTCGGTGTATTATAGGAACAGAAAATCTTCTAATGATATCATATGACGAATTGTACTCTGATAATGAAGTCACCAATCGGACTCTGATATCATATATGTATGTCATCTGACTTTTGCAGGGAGAACTTTTTAAAACAGTTTATATGACGTCATTATTTTTTTGAAATATTGCCCACATTGTTATCCAATTTATTAATTTAATTATTTCCAATTCAACAGACCCAAGGGTCCACTTAAATAATGGATAACAACATTACAACACAAGTATAAAATATCACAGTCAGTTATGCATGTAACACAGACCAAAAGATACTCATATGTAAAACAAAAGGAATTAGTGATAGCAAATATTCTTTAACCGTACTTTGAACTCTGAGAGTGAGGAACAAAACATATCACAGTCTGGTGCAAAATCAATATAGTTAAAATTACATTGAATCCTATTTAAAATACTATACTTTCTAACGTTTATTCTACTTCTCTGGCAGTAAAACTGGTTGAAACGAATTGATCGTAGATTACGACCAGGGACTAAAAACCACATTTGCTTGACTAAATATGAACAATCAAAAGCACTATTAACACATTTGTAAAGAAATACACAGTCTAAAAATGCCCGTCTATGTTCGAGACTAGGAAGATTAAAATGCCTACAAGTGTCAGCTTAAGACATGGAATTGTAGTCAACGTGTGCCTTAAAACAAAAATTTTTCAAAAATTTACGCTGTACAACTTCGACCTGGTGAATTAAAGATGTTTGGTAAGGAGACCAGATCTGACAACAGTATTCTAACTGACTCCTGACAAGACTCATATATATAGACCTTAAAACAGGTATTTGTATAAAACTATTACATGTACGTTTTATAAAACCGAGCAATCGCATTGATTTGGAAACAGTACGTCGATTGTGGGTGCTAAAACTCATTGAAGAGGTCAGCCAAACACCAAGATCTTTCATACACATTTCATTCTTCAGGTTCTCACCGTTCATAGTGTAATTAAAATTCATACATTTCTTCTTGTTTGTAAAAATGACCTGGCAGCACTTCTTCACATTCACTTTCATTTTCCACACAGTTCACCAATCATGCACTCATCATATCATATATATCTATATCGCTCTGTAGCTGCCCACACTCAGACAACGTTCTTACACACTTAAAAAAGTTGCTGTCGTCGGCAAACATAAGAGTTTTAGAAATTTCACATTAGATGGCAGTTCATTGATAAAAACAAGGAAAAGTTTCGGTCCAAGTATCGAACCTTGGGGCACACCGGGAGTTACATCACACCCCACGGATGTTGCCCCATTGACAGTAACACGCTGGAATCTGTCTTTCAAATAAGTAGTAAACCAATCTAAAATGCTACCTTCTACACCATACAATTTTAACTTATGCAATAATAATCTGTGGTTTACTTTGTCAAATGCCTTTGAAAAATCAGTATATACAGCATGTAATTCTACTTTTTTATCAAAGGCTTTGGAAATCTGATCGGTGAAACATGCAAGGTTAGAAACAGTAGACCTTTTTGGCATAAAACCAAGTTGCTCATCGCAGATAAGCGGATTTATAAAATTAGAAAAATGGACGTCAACCAGTTTTTCGGAAACTTTAGATATAATTGGTAGTAAAGATACTGTTCTGTAATTAGAGACTTCATTACGTTTACCAGATTTAAAAATGGGATTTAAAAACTACGCCAGATATGTTGTCGTAGCCACAAGCTCAAACAAAATTAACCACCTAGAATAGAAATCCGCATGGCGCAAATGGAATAAAAGTATGCTTTTTTATCACTGAATCTGTAACAGGACAGGGCAAAAACTGACCGGATTGAATTGGATTCGAATCTAATACCCCAGTATTTAAGCTTTATATGGACGCTCTAACACACAGCATGTAATACCCGGTCATCGGCGATCGGCAAGATCGAGTTCTACCACATACTTATATAACGAAGCGTATGATTGGTTCAAAACGGGAGACAGGAACCAACGGAATTACATGTATTATTTGTTGTTGGTGCTAGACTTGTATCGTTGTAACAACGTCTTTGATAGGTTGATAGTGGTTCAATTTACTGTTTGATTGTTTGTAGGCGTTGGCGGGTCTTTAGGCATCGGGGTATACGTCATCATCACGCACGTGGTCAAGCATCAGACAGGACCGTCCACTGTGCTGTCGGTGTTGTTTGCCGGCGTTGCAGCCCTCTTATCAGGTAATCATATCCAATGACCGCTGACGACATTTAAAAAAAATCTCAAAAAGATCACAACATGTGCAAAAGGTACTTCAACATTTTAAGTGCTGTTATTACCATGATCTGATTCCTGTTGAAAAGTCCCTCTGATATATGTTTATCTACATTTCTTATGTAAAAGTTTCTAAGTACATGTAGTTTTATACTATGTATGCTAACAGTTAATGTTCGGTTTTAAATAATTTTCATTCATACTGTCATGTTTCACTCGTGCTGTTATTTTCCACTAAAAATTGCGATATTGTTATTAAGATTGTCCATAAAATACTGTTTTTGAAGAAAAATTTCGGGCTCCTGCTCTTAATCCGTCTAACTGTGGAAGGAGTGTCGTGATTTTTATGGCATGTCAATTTTGAATGGTTGCATACACAACAACAGTTTTTTTATTTGGTGTGTAGGCAGTCATTCAAACTTTGCATGACATAAAAATCAATACAATGTTTCATCAGTGATACTTAAGAAGGGCAGGAGCACAAACAATTTCAACGAATAACATGTTATGGAATTTGTTAAAAGGTTTATTTTCCTTTGGAGACTGTTCAAGGCTATGGTTTACTTTTTTAAGTGTGTTTTTATACAATCCCTTTGAATACCTCCGGTTCCGGTCACCTTGTTAGTTTGTTCGATTTATTCATGATTTTCTGCATTTTTTTTCTCTGAATTTGAAAGTTGCAAAGAGTTGTAGCTTTCTTTAAGTAGTAAATTTTCCACAAATTTCACACGTGGAAGAAAATTCTTAAAGAAAATGCCAAAATAATAAGCAGCTTTTAATATATTACAAAAAGAAATGCATGTCAATAATGGTTGAAATAAAAAAAAAAGTCATATGGAACCCATCCTTAGTAATAGAGACAACATCGTAGCTGAAGGAGGCCTTATATTCTATGTACATATTGAGTAATACCGCCGTCTCAAAGTCAATTCCAATAAATGCTGAAATGATCTATGAAGACTTTCAGACGAAAAATGTCTGGCTTAAGACAAAGGGAAGCCTCACTTAGACATATGGTAAACATATCATAGCAATGTATCAACGAAGATAAAAGAGACTGAAAAACAATAGTGTCTTCATTACAAGCAATCGTCTGTCTGGGGTTCTTTTTTATGTCATTTCGAGAACTTACATTGATTCTAGTGGACAAATAAAATAGGTGTTTAATTAATTGACAATAGTACATGAATAACAACGAAATGTCATGTTGATTTCGCGAATCATACTCACAGTCCGAATAGGACCGTAATAACGAGAACTTTTGCATACTTGATAATCCCTTTGATAAGACTTAAGTACCCCTTATGTATATAATGTCGTTACACCTTGTAGCCATCTGCTATGCTGAGTTCGCCATGCGCCTTCCCCGAGCAGGCGCATCGTATCTATACACTTACGCCGTGCTGGGAGAACTGTGCGCCTTTACTGTTGGCTGGACTATGGTACTGGAGCACATCATTGGTGCAGCTGCTGCAGCCAAGGCATGGAGCCAATACCTGAACGTACTCATGAATGGGACTGTCAACAGGTAAGTGTTGTGACGTGCTCCTTCGCGAGGCAGTCCTAGGATGGGTAATGTGACGTGCCTATTAACGAGACGGTACCTGTGTTAGTAAGTTCACCTGTACGAGGCGGTTCTAAGAAGGAACCCTGACTTGCTCATGGACGAGACGCTTTTTTGGACAACAAGATTACAAAAGTACTGCGTCAGCATTGCGTTTTTACCTTAATAAGGCTGCTTCTAGGTAAATATCTCTTAAATAAGACGAAAGTATTTAGGTTAAAAACTGTAAGTACCTCGGCGTGCTATTGAATGAAGTTGCCATCTATATATATGCATAGATATTTCCGTAGACTAAGCTCTCCAAGAGAGAATATTACATTGGGGAGACAAATCCGGCGACGTATAGGTGGATGGAGTGGAAGTCTATCTATTCTGCGCTTTAATAAAACGGAGTTTAAAACATCAAGCACAATTCATGTATCAGTTTTATTATTTGACTAAATGACAGTTGTTCTTCGTGATCTCTGCATTTCGCATTTTTGTGAACAGAATCGTGCATGCGTCATATTAAATACCAACTGAATCAAAACAATAAATAATGCTAAAAATGTATAACTGTACCCAGTCCCACAATGTACGATTTGTCTTTGTGATTAAGCGTTAAAAGAAGTTATATAGTGTCTTTCAATTTGCACCTCATCAGGCAGAACGCACGTTATTGGCAAAAAGACAGAACCTCGTTAACATTCGTACACAATAATGAACACATTCCTCAATGTATTTCCTAAGAATACAAATGCTTTTCGCGTCAACTTATTTGTTCACTGCCGTGATATATACGACCACATCACAACGGATGGAGTGATGCACGTGATCACGTCGACGTCACAAGCTGCGCAGTGCCATGCGTCAACTTAGGTGTTCACTACCGTGATGTACACGACCGCATCACCACGGGTACAGTGATGCACGTGATCACGTCGACGTCACAAGCTGCGGAGTGATATGCGTGTGTTTGTCACAACAGGAGTAGCCATAAATGTAACAAGCCCTTGGGATTAGCTACTAACATCATTGGATGTAGATAGATAACACTATACAGTGTCCATTCCCGCTACTCCCTAGAGACTCATCAAACGTGCCGTGTTATCATTTGCTGTGGTAAGAAAGACAAATATGTCTGCAGACCTGTAACACGTGACCAGAGGGGAATCTAATGCTTTATGAATCATACTAGTCCGGGAACGGGACACGTACATGTTTCTGTCTTTCCTGAAGCATGCGTACCACATTTAGCTATATTTTGTCTAGAAACTGGGAACAAGTCCCACTTTTGTCAATTATTTTGTATACTTCTGATGCCGACACCGAACCTGTTGTTTCAATACTATTGTCGACGCCATTTTCCTTCGATATATATCCCTTGTAATAGCATCACCCTTTGTATTTTCATTCACATCCTCCCCAAATTAATATTTTCTTTCTTAAGGATCTCTGTCCTACTGCAGTTTGGTTTTTTCGTATGTAAAGTAACCATTACCACCATGGCTTTACAGCTAAAACAATGACAATTCCTCCACGGAAGTGCAACAGGGAAGACAAGGGCACTTCCGTACTTTCTCTTTTTTAATGTATCCAAAACCAGTGTGACGTACTTCAGCTGATCCCAGCAGACAAACTTAAAGATGACAGGTAATCTGTTACCATTTCTTTAATGATTCCTGTCACACTGCACTTTTTTCCTATATACAGTAACCTCTCATTAACTTCCGATTGGAAATAACTGTAGAACAGTTGGACACTTCCGTTTGGATATAACTATAGAACAGTTGAACACTTCCGTTTGGATATAACTATAGAACAGTTGGACACTTCCGTTTGGATATAACTATAGAACAGTTGGACACTTCCGTTTGGATTTAACTATAGAACAGATGGACACTTCCGTTTGGATATAACTATAGGACAGTTGGACACTTCGTTTGGATATAACTATAGAACAGATGGACACTTCCGTTTGGATATAACTATATAACAGTTGGACACTTCCATTTGGATATAACTATAGGACAGTTGGACACTTCCGTTTTGATATAACTATAGAACAGTTGGACACTTCCGTTTTGATATAACTATAGAACAGTTGGACACTTCTGTTTGGATATAACTATAGAACAGTTGGACACTTCCGTTTGGATATAACTATAGAACAGATGGACACTTCCGTTTGGATATAACTATATAACAGTTGGACACTTCCGTTTGGATATAACTATAGAATAGTTGGACACTTCCGTTTGGATATAACTATAGAACAGTTGGACACTTCCGTTTGGATCTAACTATAGAACAGTTGGGCACTTCCGTTTGGATCTAACTATTGAACAGTTGGACATTTCCGTTGACCATGTATCTCAATCGGTTAGTGCGATGAATTATCACAGACTGAACTCATCGGTTCGAATCCCTGTCTAACACCACTGGTTATTTCTTTACAATTTCTTTCTTTATTTTTTTTATTTTTTTTTTTATATAAAAGTCCCGCAATGTATGATTTTCTGTTCGGAAATGATTTAAAAATAGCTTTACTCATGCCAGAAAAAAATAGTTTCCAATACCTTATTGCTGTATCTTGGCAGCAGTACAGGGATCCTTACACCGAACGATGCTAAAACTTTGACATTAAGATATATATGACAAGGTTATACTGTTATTTGTAGATACTTTGAGGAGCAGCTTCACTGGTCGTTGGGTCCCAGAGCGTCAGATAGCCCGGATGTTGTCGCCTGCGCTCTTGTCATCGTCGCCCTAAGCATCGTCATTGTCGATGTGAAGGTAAACGTGTTTTATGAGTTTCTGTTCTTTTGCTAGTAGCCCTAGTACACGTCATAGTATTAACGACCTTATTGCTTCTAAGCAGAGCAAACGTTACTTCCATTTCATGTGCATGCGAGGCGCTATAATGACATAAAGTTTCCGCCTTGTACATATAAGAGAAGCCATATAAAAACCGATGAAATCGGATCTTACTTTGAAACATTTAATGAAAAGTTCGTGAAAGTACATGTAGTTCGTATGCATGACAGAAAGTCGCTATTTTCGTTATCGTGTCAGTGTTTTTCTTGTAAACAAATACATACGTGACCAGGTGTCTGTGTCTGAACTTCAGAAATATCATTTCATTTGAATATCTGTTTGATGTATAGGTGTCTGCTGTAGTCAGCTGTATATTCACTTTCCTGAATGGATTGGTGATCCTGTGCTTGATGTGTGTCGGGTTTTTCCACGTTCGTCACGAAAACTGGACGGACCCGCCGGGTTTCTTTCCCTACGGTTTTTCTGGGGTAAGTGAACATGGTTATTTCTCTAATTATGACGTTTCTCAGAAGTGAGCTATAGCTATTGAAACGCCAGGGACAATGCTACAATGTAACGTACAGGTCACGTGTTAACATATGACTGACGTCATAGGATGATAAGTCGTCAAGATTAAGGTAGGAATTATTATCAATTTCACAACGAATTATGTATGTCATAAACATCAGCTGATCAATTGCGTGTGTTCTTGAATTTGAAACTAAAATGTTAGACTAACTGCAATTTGAGATGATCGAATACGTAAAACAAACACGCATCCTATATTGGATCGAGATTAGCATATGATCAATCTTTACATGTGCAGAAATTGTCTAATCAATAAATTACATAATGTACACCAAAGATTAATTTAAGCAACAGCAAAGATACTTCTTTGATAATTTCATACAACAAAGCCCTTAAATAGCGATAGAAAACTTCAAGGAAATCTAAACAATCTGTCCCAGCCAACACTACAATTAAGCTTACGTAGCCAGTGGCACCGCATAATCAGAACATAGCTTTATCTGCAATTACGTCGAAACTAATGCCTGGAGGCCAACATACATTTTCTAAAAAGGGAAGAAATTTCAAATTAGATAAAATAATGTATTCAATCTACGTTGTGCTCAATCAAACTGGGGACAAATCGTGACACGAAAGACCATTGATATGCAAATTAATCTGAATAAAGCTCCAGTGCGATATAGACCTGGGCGGATGTGGTACACCAAAGGCGTTGTGACGCGGCTGGCTCGTCTACCTACGCCATCGTTCACACTGACTTCATTTAAATCCGAATTGATCCGCCTTCCTTTCCAATGCAAAGACCGTGTTTATCCGATTGATGGTAGACACTTTTATTCGATAGAACTAACGAAACGCACTAATGACAATTCGATGAAACTAACGAAACGAAATAATGAAAAGACAAATTGATAGAACTAATGAAAACCATGATACATCCTTACGCTGTCACGAAGAGAAAGGATAGACCCGACCGCCTGGCGGAATGGTTTTACAGATCCCAGAACAATGCCGGGATATGTGGCAGTCGTCATTCTGGTGCGTAGTCAAAGAAAAGCCTAGTGTTCTTACTTATGTGTACAAGGTTTCATGATGCCTGGACCTTATCATATATATACTACTCACATTTTGCTTAGGATCACTTTTATTTTTGGACATATGTGAAAATAATGTTTTATTTAGTTTATACTGAGATTATTTTTGAAGAATTGATTCTTCTTTTAATTCATCAGCATACAACAAAATCCAAAAATCGTAATTACAGTTGGAAAATGAGCCAAAGGAAAAGGGCTACCCTTAAATAGTCTATTGCTGTAGATACTGCTCAGTCACCCTTGCTCTATGTGGCCTAGCATTATCGTCCATAAGGATGAAATCAGGGCCGATAGCGTCAGCGTAGGGTCTAACATAGGCATCAAGATTTCATCGCAGTAAATCCGGGCCGTAACGGTACCATCATGGAAGACATGGAGTTCAATTTTCCCGCGAAGGCTTATGCCTTCCCACACCATCACTGACCTCCACCCTATCGGTCATGTTCTACAACGTTACCTGCCTGGAACCTCTCCCCAGGTTGTCTCTAACGCGCCAGTCGGTGAGGTCGAGACAGAATCTGGACTCGTCAGTAAAAGAACCGGCTCCCATTCCTAAAGAGTCCAAGTGCTGTGAGCTTGGGCCCAATCTAATCGGTCCCTAACACGGCGGGCAGTTAAGGACACTCGTATTGCTGGTCTAAGTAATCTTAAACTAGCATCACAAAGACGGTTCCTAACTGTCTGAGTGGCTACCCGGGTACCAGAAGCATTTAGGAGGTCATTTCGTAAAGCTGTGGCAGTCTGGAACCTGTGAAGCCGTGCCTGAATGAGCAAAACTCGGTCTAGGCGCTTCGTTGTATCACTAGAACGACCTCCAGCATGACGTCTGGAAGGGTTTCCATTTGTTTGGAAACGATTCCACATTCTTGCCATCACACTTTGAGACACCCCAAGCTCTACTGCAACCTGACGTTTAGACGTGCTAGATTGCAGCTTTCCGATGCCTTTATTCATTTCACTGTCATTTAACCGTTGTCTGGTTCGTCTTTGTGCGATATTCAAACAAAAACACGCAAAAAATATTCATCAAATTGATTTCCTTAATAATTTGAACAACGCCTTATTTAGCCTAGCTTAGCTTTTGAAAAAGCGTGGAAAAACGTGCACGCGCTTTTGTGGTTGACTGAACACACCCACACAGGACGATTTGGAAGGCTAACATATTCGCCCAAAAGAGTACGGAAGGAAAATATAACATCCTTTCCAACAATTTGAATTTTGTTTTCAAAATATAGGTGATTCTTAGCAAATATTTAAAAATTCCCTCTTGCCACCCTCTGTGTCTGATACTGTAATAGCAACATTTGAAAAACAGTAATATCGAAAAGCAATGTCCATGGCAACCACTGAAAGTGTTACTGCAATTAACGATAAAACTTACCAATATAACCATATAATTATAAAAAAGCAGAAAACAAAAACAACTTAATAACTCGATATCGATATGACTCGATAAAACAGTCAATGTTTTATTAGATTTTCTTATGGTGCTTCATGTAACATCGTACACACGCAATATCCCAATGAATGCAAAAGCAAGCATTGTGGTTCAGCATATTGTTCTAATAATCATCTTCGACCGTTAAAACGTTATACTGAACCTAATAATCAGTTTATAATATAAAACAATTCTAAAGTGCCGTCAATATGCCTTTACGAGGTTGTGTTTTACGTGTTGTCGTTAGGCTCTGGCTTACGAAGACAACTTAATCCGAAATACTCAAGATTTGTCATTTTTGACAGAAATTATAAAATAAATGTGATGGATTATATTGATTAGGGTTTACGTCATAGCAAAAGCTAAGGTCACTTCAAGACGGGTGGGAATCCGACGACAAAAGTAGGAACAGTAGAGAATAGATACATTAGAGGTCCCAAGTGTTGCTATGGGGCAGCATAGATTAGTTTCTTTCGCACTGAAGCAGAAGACCATAAAGAAGACACGCAGAGGTTAACACGTACATTTGTTACCTCTTATGTGCAGTGCGAAACAGCAGGTCTTTATTTTCCCGAACCTGACAAGGAATACAAACATAAGGAGCAGCGAATGGTAATAAAAGTGTAACCACACCTCTGTGGTCATCAAACGTTGCAGATAAGAAAACTTTATTATACGTTCACGAGATGGCGGATGTGTCTGCACAATAAAGTGGGGATGTTTGCGACGTAAGATAAACTTATTTGTGTGGGAGGAGGTGCAATATCTATATCCAAATCGGCGCACGCACGCCATGGATCCAGACCACTGAATAAAAAGTTTCTTCTCACACTTTTGTCTCTGATCACAACAATTTTGCTTTATGTATTGTTTGTGAATTTTATAGTTTCATATTCAGTCGGGGCGGATAACCAAAACCAAATATATATAAAAAAAAACAACACAAAAAACACAATAGTAGAGACGACCAGGTTCACGTGCCATTGTTGTCGTCTGCTTCCTTCGTTCGAACTAGGTTGTGGTGGCACTTGTCGATTTTTCTAGAGAGGCTCCGAAAAAGGGAAACATGATCAGCGAAACGCTATTATAAAGATGGCAATGGCCACTCCAATGGTGTCCGCTTATAGACATAAAGTTAAGAACTGTGATGGTATGAAACCCACTTTCAAACACATTATATGATGCATATCTTGGAGTATATGATTATGTTTGTAAGCAGTAGAGGTTCATACCAGCATAAACATTAAATTCGATCGGTTTGGCGTCAAAACAATGGTTCCCGATAACTCTTACAGTATGGCCTAAAAACGGTTCCGATAAAACAACAATTTATGTGTAATAGAGGTCTTTCTTTCATGATTGAAAAACTTCATTTTTAGTTAGTAGGTTTATTAAGAGGCTGTACAAAGGAAATATATCAGCTATGAATGACACAGCTTAAGTTTTCATATAGAATGAATAACGGTTGGCTCAAAAAGATCCAACCGTATTTCGAAGTATTTTTTTCAGACATTGATATATAAATGTAAATAGCTACTTTACACCAAAATAAAGGTTTGTGCAAAGTAAACAAAGCCTTTGTCAGGGTCATATGTACGGGCAAATGGTTCTTTGTAAGTTTTAACAGATGTGTAGATAGAAAATCTCAAGTTTAATCGGCGTGGTCAATTTTGTTTTAAAGTCAATGTTGAACCTTTCAGCTTTAGAAATTGTGCTTTCAGATGAAAAAATGAAAGATGAAGGATACTTTCTCTGTGTCCGTTTTTTTGATCCGGTGGTATGTAGGAGTGGCACGTTCTCAGCCAGATTGTTACGTGTGTGCGAAATTTCCAATTTCAATCAATCATAGAATGTGGGTCTCATTTCAATGATAATCGCTGGTATGACCTGACACTTGTATGTCCGGACTATACACCATTGTGATCCATAACGGATATGATTGCAGGTCAAACTGGCTGATTGGTATATATATCCTCACCATATTTTCCCGATTGGACTGTTACGGGTGTACGTCTTGAGGTTCAACTTTGCGTTGTACTTTTCAAAAGACACGGCAAAACATGTTTAAGTTACACTATAAAAAACGTTCTGCATATTTCTCTCAGAAACCTATGGTACAACTTTTTGAGAAAATGCAACATCAAAGCACAAAACAAAATGAAAAAAGCTTTGACCTTTGTAATATTATTGGACGAATATAACTTAAAGTACTGGCCGGAACATTCAATTAACCTTCTTCCAAGTTTGGGGAAGAAATAGGTCTGCTGTTTACCACTGCATGCTATATTAAGAGCGATTAATGTGTCCCCTGCAGAAAGTTTTTGTTCTGCTTAGCGGACATTGTAGATAGCAACACTTGAAACATATATTTTTTGTCTTATATTTCTTTTCGATGGTGTCACCCTCGGCACTCTTCTTGGATTTTGCGAGGACATTAAACTTAAAGCAAACAACATTGATAGATATAATAGACTAAGAAATACTGTACACAAAACCCCAAAATTTGAAATTGATTTACATGACGTTTCAAATGATTTTCGCCTTATACATCGAACATCTTGTCCTCTTTTGTAGATATGCTTACATGTTGTTTCTGTAAAACTTGTCAAAATCGTCAGCTGTTTGATGCACATAGCGTCTTCGAATAAATCTAAAGGCGTTTAATTTCATTTGCCCCATGTTTTGGCGACCCGTCGAAACAGATAATAGTCTATCTCAAACTACGCCTTGTTTGGAAGACCCTCTTGCACACCAATGTAATGGGTTTCACCTTAATTCAACGCTCCTGATCATCAACCACTGGAGGTTGATCGACCTTGCCAAATAATGTTCGCTTAAAATCCGTTACAATAGCATAATACAAATTCACACTTCTTGCTTTTTTTGGTGTACCATATTTATGTAAACAGTGTGTGTGACTTAAAGGCCATATTAAACGAGTTTAACTAGGACGGTTTTGAAGAGGTTCCGTCGTCTGTTCTTACCACGGTTAAAAAACTCCGCTAGGTACTTGTCTAAAATGTCCTTCATCGTTTGAATATCCCTGGGGCGCTAAGTAAATCAGAATGGTGTAGGCAAAAGTATATCAACAAAACTTGCATTTTTTACGGAGATTTCTGCTCTCCCAAGAGGTTTTATTCGATCATGTTCATGGGAAAATCATTTTTCCTTTCACGAGGAACAACAAATCAAAATCGCGATTTCATGTTGATTTATATCTCCAATCTTGCAAATTTAATCTCATATACACGCTGATTACTGAAGCTACTGGATTTTATGTACAAATAAACTCAATGAGTTGAATACAAATCGCAATCACTCAGTTTGATACTTGCCAACAAAGTTGACCAGCCTCGATCGATTTAAAGAGTTGTCGATCTCTGTCAAATCCCACAAAGAACGACGCCACATCCATCAGTTTAATGATCAAACAGCTATACAAATGTCTCTCCATCTCACTACATCAAGGTAATAAAGCTGATCGCGCTAGCTTTTGCTGTTAATTAAAGAAATTGAAATAGATCAATTCGTAATCGAAGGAGCTGTTTATTTGATGTTGATTAGGGTGTACCCCAGCCGATACGGTGAGCTGGCGGACATGATAGATAGTAGGTCAGCGACGCAGGCCACGCGAGCACAAACGTAATGAAGTCATTTTCTCATGTTGACAAAATGAATACCTTGACATGCGTTTGGGGTGAAGCGCGGTGTACATTAATCATGATCGCACTGATGCTTGCGGTTTTGGTATTGGTCACAATTTCCCTGAAACGAAACGATGGGTTTATTGTGTTTCATGATTGTGTATCATTTTCATTTTCACGGTCTATATATGCTCCGGAAATGAAGTAGTCGTGTTTACCTCTAGCTCATGTTGATGAACAGGTTATCATTCACGGCTCATTTAGACTGGTTTATGACGACAACAATTCAGTTGAATTTTATGAGAAAGAGACCCTCGAAACGATATTAAAATCTTGTCTTGAATAATAGAAAATAGTTTGCATGTATCGCTCAAAAACCGTGTTTCCGTTTTATTGCACTTTATCTATGGCGCCACACCAATTGGGTGTGTCGATCAATCAACAACCCTTAGCATTAGAACCAGCATTACCTTTTCAAAAACGTGGTAACAGCGACACAATTCTATAAATGACATGGTAACAACGATTCAATCCAATCAATGACTTGGTAACAACGATTCAATCCAATCAAGGACATAGTAACAACGACACATACCAATCAATGACGTGTTAACAACGACACAATCCAATCAATGACATAGTAACAACGACACAATCCAATTAATGACTTGGTAACAACAACACAATCAAATCAATGACATGGTAACAACGACAAAATCCAATCAATGACATGGAAACAACGACACAATCCAATCAATGTCATAGTAACAACGACACAACCCAATCAATGACATAGTAACAACGACAGAATCCAATCAATGACATGGCACCAACGACACAATCCAATCAATGTCATAGTAACAACGACACAACCCAATCAATGAAATGGCAACAACGACACAATCAAACCAATGACATGGTAACAACGATTCAATCCAATCAATGAATTGGTAACAACGATTAAATCCAATCAAGGACATAGGAACAACGACACAATCCAATAAATGACATAGTAACAACGACCCAATCCAATCAATGACATGGCCACAACGACTCAATCCAATCAATGACATAGTACCAACAACACAATCCAATCAATAACATAGTAACAACAACAAAATCCAATCAATGACATGGAAACAACGACACAATCCAATAAATGACATAGTAACAACGACAGAATCCAATCAATGACATAGGAACAACGACACATACCAATCAATGACGTGTTAACATCGACACAATCCAATCAATGCCTTGGTAACAACAACACAATCAAATCAATGACATGGTAACAACGATTCAATCCAATCAAGGACATATTAACAACGACACAACCCAATCAATGAAATGGCAACAACGACACAATCCAATCAATGTCATAGTAACAACGACACAACCCAATCAATGAAATGGCAACAACGACACAATCAAACCAATGTCGCGGTAAAAACGACACAATCCAATCAAGGACATGGCAACAACGACACACTCCAATCAATGACTTGGTAACAACGACACAATCCGATCAATGACTTGGTAACAACGATTCAATCCAATCAAGGACATAGGAACAACGACACAATCCAATCGATGACATGGCAACAACGACACAAACCAATCAATGACATGGTAACAACGACATAATCCAATCAATGACTTGGTAACAACGACACAATCAAACCAATGACGTGGTAAAAACGACACAATCCAATCAATAACATAGTAACAACAACACAATCCAATCAATGACATGGTAACAACGACACAATCCAATCAATGACATAGTAATAACAACACAATCAAACCAATGACATGATAACAACGGCACAATCCAATCAATGACTTGGTAACAACGACACAATCCAATCAATGACTTGGTAACAACGATACAATCAAATCAATGACATAGTAACAACGACACAATCAAACCAATGACCTGGTAGCAACGACACAATCAAATCAAAGACGTGATATCAGCGTCACAATCAAATAAAAGACGTGATAACGATGACACAATCCAATCCATGACGTGGAAACAACGACGCAACTAAATCAATGACGCGTTGTTACAACGACACAATTTTATCAACACCTCCGTTACACTGACTCGATATTAGGAATAACGCAATGATTACCACGATGCTAGATAAAAAGCGACTGTAATAATTACGCTTTTAAAACAACGCAACGGTAAAAAAGACAAGCACCAATCAAAGTCACAGTAAGCAAGACAGATTACAAGAATGTAACTGTAGCACTAACGCGTTCAAATACAAGGCGTGGCAACCCCAATGGCACTGTTCGATCAATTTGCAGTACTAAAGACGATTCCAATCAAAGCCACGGTAAGCAAGACACATTCTAATCACAGCCGCGTTCGTTAACAACATTTAAACTAGAAACAAACCTGCGTTAACGAAGTCTCAATCCATTCAAAGTTATGGTAACACCGACATGATTCAGTCATAACAGCAATGTTACCTACCCTATCCAAACAAACAAAATGGGTGTAACAACGTCGACAGAGCATGCAATATATTACGTATACTGCGTTCATATTAGAGTTATAGTAAAATATTTACATTTGCGCTGCACTGTCACTACATAAACCAAGTAAACTTCGTTTCGGGTTATCAGACTATGAACCGAAATGAGAATTAATACGAACGTGACCACAAATTAATACGGAAGTCTCGTCTGATTTTCGTTTTGAATTCTGTTCGAGGAGTTGTATGTTCCACTATGAAACCATAGCAAAGATATTTATTGCTATTTCAATTACCATACTCTTTTATGCGGAAACGAAATTCTGTTTTCTAAAATTACAATGTCGAACATTTCAGTGAAGTTTGTAACGCAGTTCATATCATTTCCCTGTAATGCAGTCGGCATTCATATTGCTAATGAACCGCATCTAAAAGCAGTTTAATGCTTAAAAATTCTGAGTGCATTTAGAATTATGATTATAAATCTTTGCAATACCGTTCATAGTTATAGGATTTTAACAAGGAACATGATACATTTGAAAACTTTAATTATAATTTCAATTTTGAATTTTGTCTTATTTTAAATTTGAGGCACATTTGCAAAAGAAGGAACCCTGCAGACAATATCAGATATTTATCTCCATTGTCATGAACTACGTAATTACGTCAAGGTCATGTCGAGTTAAAGAGTTGTGTGTCTATCAATATTTGGCTTTGGTTGTGTTTAATGGACCTGTATACAATCTAGACTTACCACTCTTAACATTTTTTTCTAGAAATGAACCTGTACACAATATTAAGAGTTATAGTCACATGTTCTCTTGCAATATTGGTCAAATATAAATATAGATTATGATATATTGCTAGTAGACGACATTGATAAAACTATATTGTTCGTGTATTATAGGTGGTGAGTGGTGCGGGGACGCTGTTTGTGGCCTTCTCGGGCGTGGAGGTGGTGGCCAGCAGTACCGAGGACACAAAGGAACCACTTAAAGTCACGGTCAGCGCCATCTTTACCACACTGGCCGTCTGCTTCGCCACATATTTTGGCGTCACGTGCGCCCTAACCCTGGCCTATCCATGGAACAAACTCACGGACGAAGTGGCTCTACCTTTGGCGTTTGAGGCTAGAAACATAGGCGGATCTAAGTACGTGATCGGAGTAGGAGGGCTATGTGGTCTGATAGCGTCTACACTCGGATGTTTATTCGCCGTTCCTAGAATTCTTTATGCAATGTCAAACGACAAAATAATATCGAAATGTCTTGGACATAATCCTATTTGTAAAAGGAATACGGGCATATCGTGTTTCGGTGTAGCGTTTGGAGGAATAGTGTCGGCAGCTTTTGCTACGTGTTTCTGTCTTGAAGTTTTGATCGAGATTATGGCTATTGGCACATTGCTTTCATTTTCCATGGTATCCCTGTGTGTGTTATGTCAGCGGTACCAGCCGGGTCATATCGGCCTTTACCAGGAGTACGATTCCATGGATGACAGCAGGTATATGCAGTGTACAGAATTCGTGTACGATTTACCTTACACTTCCGGCAGTTATTCCACAGATACTCCACCTCGGCTTAAAACTCGTCCACCACAAAATGTATGTGATGGAACAGAATCCCAGCCACTTACGGGTGGTGTGCAAAGGGGTATGACGTATCAAAAAATGGATAGTGTCGTCAAGACAACACCGTCCGGAAGTATGAGCAGTCTATTTCAGATTCCCAGTGACATTCCTCTGGAACCTACAAGTCGGACGTTACGTACAGCTTCCATAGCTCTTGTTGTATATATTGTATCGTGCTTGGTGCTAGCCTTGTTTGTCAAGCTTGCCGGATGTTACGTCACAAACGTGTCATGGTGGGCTTTAGTTGTAATACTTTGTTGTGCGATCTCCTTGGTTACAACGACAATACTAATCACCAAACAACCACAGAATCAGACCCGATTGATTTATAGGGCCCCTTACGTTCCCTTTGTGCCATTGACGTCACTACTGCTGAATATATTCATGATGACATCCTTATCTTATGCGGTGTGGATGCGATTTTCAGTGTGGCTACTTTTAGGTAAGCAGGGTCATTTGAATGTTTACCGTATACATGCGAGCCTGGTTTATATAGACACCACTAAAATCTAAGTCTAACTTTCCAGTCAGTGATGACCTGCCTTTTTGCATGCAAAATAGTCTTATATATCGAGGAGTCCCTAAGGTCAGCCAGGTTTACCGGAAACAAAGATAGCTTGATTATCGGGCCTCCGCTTTATCTAAGGTAGCAGTGTACAGTAGCGTACGGTGGCCATGGGGATAATTTTGTACAATGAATAACCCATGTAATATTACATGTATCAACGTGTTTTTTTTTTTTAAAAATCAGCACTAAAATTGGCATTAACATGATCAAGTGGACTATGTGGGCTTCACATTTAAAAAAAGAAAAAAATCGAATTTGGTTTGAGACTACATTTTTGGCCATTTACAAATCTGTGTCTACACAACAAAAGCTAGCTTTTCATATAGTCTATTTTGTACTCAGCACATGTGTGAATATTGTGAAAAATCCAGTTGAACGACCCATGCAAAAATGTGAGTATTTCTGTTACCGAGTAGTTGATATTCATTTTATGACAGGTTTTAAGAAAAAAATACTAACTGAGTGTGTCAAATTTTGGGTTAAAAATCATGTATTTTAGCGTTTTTTGATGTGGTAACCATGGTTTTCACAAGTGCCCAATTTGGGGAAATCACTTTGTGAAAAAATATTCATTCTTCTAAAAAAGTGTATTCAAAATGTAGTTTATAAAGACATATATAGATGTAGGTGTGTTGTGCAGGATAAATCCGCTATCTGTGGTTTTTCGTATACACAGTAATCTCCCGTCAGCTTCCGTTTGGATATAACTGTAGCACAAGTTGGGCCAAGTCACTTATGTTGACCAAGTAGCTCAATTGGTTAAAGCGATAGAATATAAATCTGAGGTCCACGGTTAAACTCTCGGTCTAGCCCCGCTGTATTGTTTTTTTTACTCAGAACACTGTCATTTATTATAATCTTTATTATTTCTAATAAAAGGCCCGTAGCGTATGGTTTTCATTAAGAAGTATTCAATCAAAGCTATAGTCATTCAGAAAAAAACCAGTTTCCAACACTTTTTTGGGAGTGAAACGGATAATCTTAATATGCAGAATGGTTACGAATGTCTGTATGTAAATGTTTGTATAGAACAGTGGCGGCTATTCGAATGTATATCCCCGGGAAACTGCTCGTTATATCCTCTTATTTAACATACACAAATGTAACATTTATTTTTGTACGTAGACGACCAATTCTTACTGCCCCAAAATAAACAATACCTGACAAATCATTTAACAACTCCGTTAAGAAGGTCCGCCAGAAAACGTCCCCGACGCCGGAAGTTGAACTGTCGTCTGCCAGCATATTGTAGTTAATGACATTCAAAGCTGCAGACATTACAGTCACTGTTACTCGTTTGGATAAAATATTGCAAATGTACTTGTAAAATGCATAACCGATTCTGAAACAAATTTCACCCAAGCATTTTATCGGACCACAGAAATGTATGATAAATTGAAGTTTACACAGACCAAAATACAACATTCTTATTAAGAGGCATTGCCCTACTTGTGTGTCGATTTAAATAACGATTGCAAAAAATGAAAGATTATACATTAAGAAATAATTTATGTAATGATATCTGAGGATATATTTCAGTCCTAAAACGTTGCACCAGACAACGATTAATTGCCAAAATATTGTAATAATATTTTTAACCGTCATAAAGTAATAACAGGAGGGAATTACTATATGTAGTTGACTGCAGTGCTTTGAAACTCATCTTGCATTCACCGGGTTTCTGTTTCCGGCGGCTCCGTACTTCGTTAATTGACCGTTGCGATCCCTTGTTACTTCGGAACTTAAAAATTAAATAACTCGGTTTGGTCACAAGTTTTGACTATTGTTACTTTCTGCTCGAATTTCGCAAATCAGTATTAATAATCGGAGACGTTTATCAACACATTACGTGTAAATGTTTTGTATTGAAAGATGTATTCTTCCGAGTTGGAAACATGTCCACGAATTTTGCTTTGATAATGTTGTTTAGTTTGATGTCGAAGTATGTTCTATTTTCTAAACACATCTAAAGATGAGAAGGTTATCGATAATGTTTTTGATTAAATTCTTGATTTAGATGTTGTTACAAAATTCCATAATAAAACCATTTTTAAAGATTCTCACAAAATTAAACAAAAAATAAATCATTGTTTAACAAAACATGAAATCATTTTTATACCTGATAATTTTTTCTTACAAACTTGATCTATAGATCCATATTTTTGCATGTATAAAAATCAAAAACGAATACATTTTTGTCGAGAAAATAACAGTTCAGGCATTAAACCTGTTTGATATTAACAGGTATTGAAGAATTATAAAACAGATGTTTATAAAGAATTTGCAAGGCTTTCAGGAAAATCTGAACCTGAACATAATATCACGTTGATAACAGTATTAAGTGATGTCGTGTTCTTCCATATCCTGTAATCATTATTTGTGATCGACACATAAGAACGCATTGATCGCAAATTGAATTATTACACGAACAGTTATTTGTACATGGCGTTAGACGTACGGGTTAAGTGAACGTGAATGAATGTCTTCGTTTGTAAATACAGAAAGGTGTGTTTGCGACATTTGTTAACGCGAATAAAGATAATAGATAATAATAATAATTTATAATAATATAATAATATAAGAATATACCGCTTTATTACAACCTAGTTCGTAGGACGTCTCAAAGTGGTTCACAAATTATTATCCGTGGTTATAGGGCCTTTGCAACCAGCCAATATCTTTCTCAACTCCGTGGGGGGCCCACAGCTGGTGCTGCCATTTCGGCGCTCACATCTAGCATTTAACAAATCTATCAGTGCCCAACCACGTACTCATTTACAGCTGAGCAGACTGGAACAAGCGGAGTAAAGAATCTTGCTCAAAGATACATCATAGTGCCGTGACGTGACTCGAACCCGCAACCCTTTGGTCAAGAGCCCGGCGTCCTACCACTACACTACCGTGCCTCCTTTTTATAATCTAAAGTAGTTAATAGAGGGTGATAAAATTAAATATCGAACAATAGTAAATTATTTAGTAACGCAGATTTGTAAGGGATTCGGTTTATAATCATTAGTATCAGTTACAATAATAAAAAAAACGATTTAACCATCAAGCTCAAGGTAAAGCTCATATACACCGACAATTCTCCGACATCCGAACTTTACGAAAATGGAAGTCGATGTAGAGTACTCTTAAATAAGAAAAGCTATCAAGCAGCTAGTAGAAAATGTTCCTTTTAGATACAGTGGTCAAACAAAGTAAATATTCTACTGCACCATGGAGCCAATTTGTTTGTTTAAGACTCACCAGTGAGCGTGTACAATCCACTGCCAACGAAACAATGGCCTATAAAACCAGTCATAACGTGAAGGATCTACATCTTCTGACTACAATAGATCATGTATACCCTGTTGTCATGCTATGAATTCCAGCTACAAGGCTCCGGTCAACCGTCGGCACTGCTAGTCAACCAGCAGAGTCAAACACTTTGCTAAGTAAAAAAATAAGTAGAAATAGGAGAAAATGAAACTCCAATTTAAATTTTATTTTGTGTACATTTAACTGCGTCATATGGTCACTTCGTTCATTTATGACTTACTAGTGGTAGAATTGAAAGTCCATGTCTGATAATAATAATAATAATGAATTATTACTGAAAAGACATTTGACGATGAAAAGAAGCTTCATTCGAACATTCTACAGAAAAATCAAACATTTAATATAGGGAAAATACCACATCTAATATCAGCACAATTTTAATGTTTTCAATAATAAGAGTTGAAGAAAACGTCTGTAACATAATTAGAATAAGTGGTTTAGTTTAAGCCTGTTTATTGCCAAATGCAGACAAGGGATTAGACACAAGTTATAATATCTTTTTAACGCTTCCCCCCAAATAAATGGATTCCAAGAGCATTTATGATAAATCGAGCTCAAAAGTAAAATTAAATTGATTACGTGAAGAATTTTGTAGCAGAATCGTAACTAACAAACACAAATGTTATATCAAAAGTTCGTAAATATCTAATAAAAGCTAACGCCAACAATTTTAACACGTTTATGAAAGCCATTATTTGGTATGTCTAAATGCCTTGTCAACGCCCAGGAAAAATGGTATTCTGAAAGAAAAAGATAAAACCCTTAAGTGTTGCAATTTGCGCAACAGAACAATTTTGGTTTCCTTAATATCCAATAAGAAGACGGCACGTAAACCCCATGAATCTACACGGGGTCCCACATCAGTCAACTCCAATCATGAAACGGGACAGATTCTTCATTTCGCTTACGTCTCTGAACATGCATGAGTGTTCTGTAAAAGATCATCTATGTTTACTTTTATATAAACTAACGCGCACCATAAAATATTAAATTGGCTACCAGCCCCTTAGTTTTATAAAGAATTTCCTGGATGTATTTTACTTCTAGCATATCTCCCCCTAGTTTAGAACTTAGGCTCAGACATCTAAGTGATCAAAGTTTTTTTTTCTAAATGATTCAATATTCTAGAGACGGGGGCCAGTCCACATAAAATATGTAAATTGCCAACTGCGTTCATATTTCCGTATACGCCGTCAAAATGAAGATCAACTCTAATATACACACGGGAATGTAAACATGAAAATTATGTATATTAATGTATACATTGATCAAAATAATAATGAAGTGAAGAAAGTGTTTCTTGTTGAAAAAATATCTGCGGCATATTGTAATCCGTTAGTCTTCTCGGGAACTCGCGTAAAAGAAAACATCTTGTGGAAACTAAGCGATTTATTATAAACATATGGTATGTTTTATGTATCAATAATGTTCACTTGAAACCGGATTTCGCGATTGATGTTAACGTGAAATTACGCAAAATAAATAAATACGCGAAAACTATGTTAGCAACAATAGAAAAAGGAAATTATATATTACATGAAATAGGATAGTAAATATTTACGGACGGGCCGCTTTGCTACATGTGCTTTATTATTTGATGAAGTTACCATTGTTATAAAGTTTTAAAATGTTAAAACAAGGAAACACTTGACCGAATAATATTCTGTAATAGTTTCTTCTCTCGTTTGTTGATAATATCAAAACTATCATATTTTAAATGGCAACCTAGCTTTTGAATACAAACATATTAACATGTGAATACAGTGCATGCTACAACAAAACAATGTCTAGCTTTGATAGGAGAGGAAGAACAGTTCCCGGTATGGTGAAAGTTTAAATTTTGACTACATCTACACAAAGACAAAAACGAATTTCTATGTCAGCTATAAATGATCTATTCTCTTTCACTAATTTAACATTTACAATAAAGAATACAAAAGTCCATAAATTGCTTACAATATAGATACAGAAAACAATACTGTATACCTTGAAATGTTGGCCGTATTTGTTTTTAAGCTTTCGCCCTTGTCGCATCCTGTTATGATGACGAATTTATCATAAGAGTGAATATTTGAAAACAATGTATCATAGTGTGGTATGTTATTGCGTATGTAAGGGGCATATTATATGTAGATAAACAAGTCAATTTATTTTATAAAATATGCATACAAATGTCAACTATAGTACAAAACTAGAATACGAAGATCGATGTTGTGTATAGAATATAAATACAAATGGGTAATATATCATATATATGTATTGTATATTATTTAAGCATTGAACTGCTTTCAGTTGCCTATGAATGCCAACTGAAAGCTGTTGAGCACTTATTTTTACCATTTTTGTAACCTGTTCATCTCCTAGAAAATTCAATTACACTGATTATTATTCTGCATTTAGTTCGAATAATGTACATGTATGTATTATGTATACTTTTTCAATGAATAGAACAGCCATCGCCAAGGGAGGGTCAGTGGTATCCAATGTAACAATTATGACGTCATTATAATGATGACGTCAACAATCGGTCCATGGCATTCATAACCTATATGAATGCCAACTGAATTTGGTAGGGTTATATAGTGGCAATACCATACGATGGTATATATAGAAAGGATAAGCTATCTATACAGTCTCAGTAATAAAACAACTGCAATCGATGGAAATTTTACAATCGTGAAATGACAGATTAATAATACATATTATGTAAAATACGGCTCACACTAAACACGAACTCGGTTATGGAAAATATACACTATCGACAAACACTTACATTGTGTAGCTATAGTATCGAAAAAGATTAAAACCATTTCAGTGATTTTCATACCGTTAAATTATCACACCGAAACGTGTTACATAGTAACATATAAACGTTATACTTTGCAAATACACTCATACATTTCGTTTTGCTGTAAGCATATTATCTTCCTGCATACAAATGTAACTGATGAATATAAATAAACTGTTTCACTGTTATGTTCCGACAGATTTTGACCCTAAAACATGTGATAAAATCTGCGTCAATGCGAATTTTACTTGAATAAGTACATGTGCATTAGTGCAAATAGTAAAATGTGATTTAATTTTTCTTATTTTTTTTATTTCCAATTCACAACACAATGTCTATCGTTGCATATTTTTTTTATCCTGGCCAACACGACCGATTAATTCATGTTGATAAAACTAAAATTACATATATATATTGTTTTTATTTTTGGTTGTTATAGGGTGAAATGTATATTCCACGTAATTACTTTTTATTTGTTTCCTTTTCAGGTATATTTCTGTACTTCGTTCACGGTTACCACTCCAGCGCTGAACAGGACGTAGACGACCAGGAGGTAGTGTTATATGCAATAGGAGAGCAGGACGAAAGTTAAACACCGGTGTTTTAAAATATGGCCAACAAGAATTTGACGATATCATGCATTGTCAAGACTTAAGGATCATGCGTAACGGTCATTGGATGTTTAATTTTAGACTGTTCAATCATTTCTACCCAAGATTGTTATCATATTCCATGAAAATGACTTTTGTTACTGTAGCCTTTTTCAGCAAATCCATTATCCTTTTTGAAATCATCCTCGATACTCCAGGGCACGTTTTCATGAAACCGTTCTGATGCTCAAGCATGGGTTTTGCGTTCAAGTCGAACTTCTTGTTCCTGTTATAAATTAATAAAAACAATCTTATTTTGTCAATGATTTTGAAAACATTGAAGAAACTTGAAGCCAAAAACTGTTTTTAATGTTTTCATTTGATTTTTTGATCGTTTGAAATGATTTAAGGGAGTTACAAGAAAGTTGTTTTGAGCATTAAATCTATGCTTGAGCATGAAAACGGTTTTATGAATATGGGCCCAGGGGTTACGCTCACTTTTGCTCTCTGCAATCACCTGGAATCACAAAGCGAAATTGAAGGCATGCGGCTAGCAATTTGATTGGTCTCAGGTAAAAAATACACCTGGCCAATCGCTAGGCTGATTCCTGTCCTTTGAAGATCACAAAGAAGCAACACCTGACTTCAAAGCCAGTCAATTATTTCGATGTAAATCAATGGATCAAACTAGCCTTCTCGTCTCGTCCATAAAGGAGTGAACACTGAGCCTTCGATTGTACTATGACACAGTTCAGGGGTGTAAAGAGCGAAAGTAAGCGTTACCCCTGGAGTATCGAGGATGATTTGAAATACTTCCATGACATTCCTAAAGGTAGAACTTCCCAAACGTCATTTTAGTATTGATAATCTAGTAATGTTGATTTGATGATACAGTTGGACGTTTAAGCGGGATACATTTATTTGAGATAAGATAGCTTAGTGACTGTACAAGTAACAAAAGTCAAGCATTTTGTGGCAAAAAAAATGAAATAAGGAATTGACATGGTGTTATAGCATTGATTAATTGACGGTGGTTCCTCGTTAATCTTGCCCCGATATCACCAACCCCGTGAGTCGGCCACGATCTGATCTCAAACAGTTAATCTCCTGTAGACTTAACATAGTAACTTAGTTTCGTTAATTGAACCATGGATTAGCGTATTGTTTAATATTTTAATTTTAGGAAAGGTCTTAACATTTCAATAAATTTTATACCGTTTCATAAATACAGAAATTCGTTCAGGTGGATTTCTTTACGGGAAACAAAACATCAAAACAAACGAGGCTCCATGTTATAATATTACGTTTGTATGTTGAATTTCATTGCGTTATGACTAAATTTGTCATATTTAATGTAGCATCGTCGAAAAACCCTGCCAACATATCGCAGGAGTAACGCCAGAATATGTTAGGCTAGTGTGACGGGTTGACAACATGATGACAGACCCAATTCAAATTAGACATTCATCTGTCGGCGTTTTTTTCTCTCGAGTTTATAGATTTATTATTAGTGATGGGTTACTTGATTGTCTAGACTGCTATAAATATTATGTTTATTAATATTTGCATAAGCAAATGATTCAACGTTTAAATATCCTGCGATATTCAAATATACAGTAACGCACAACAACAAAATAGTACAGGCTTTATATGGTGTCATGATAATCTCGTACTAGTACACGCATACAAAATGTACGTGTACCTAACTGTTTCCTGATCAAAAGAGTTCCCGCACTTCAAAAACGTTAACATTCTTACTACTTAATTAAAACTTTGATTTAGTTGATGACTTATTTCAAAGGTGCTAAGGTAATATTGAATTGAGGATAATGACAAACTAAATGTTAATCAAAAAGTAGTATCAAGTAACACACGCAGTGGTAGAAGCTAGTATGGGAAGGGAGAGCACTCCAATATACTGTTGTTTTCGTAGTTATCGTGTAGATATAGAGAGACTTCTAGTTTTATAATACATGACAGGTTAATTTTACTTCCTATAGACTAAATTCTGCTTGTTAATATTTATATGTTTTTTGAAATAGTAGGACAGATCTGGTATATACCCTGCAATCAGTGCCGGGGTATTATATGCAGTACAAGAAATATTTTTCGGTAGATGTTTTTCTTTACAACTAATTGGGTCAGCCTCGAAGAAAATAAAATAAAAATAATTTGAGGTCAGTAAAATATCTAGAAGAATTTCTAGTACATATTTTGTAGATAAATCCATGCATTTACACCGTTTATTCGATAAATTCTCCATTAATCTAGATGAACTTTTTAATCAGACAAATTCGTCTTTAATTCCGTATAGAAATCAACACAATGATGCAACGAAACTTTAATTAGGTGACATTTTATCAGATGTAAATGTAATACCAAACCAAACAGTAGAGAAATAGAGTTCATACAACTTCGTATTATCTCGTGGTATGATTTGTTTCTGTTCTGTACGTATTAAGCATGCATTTCAGATCGTTTACGATTTGATTCTTGATTACCTGGATAAACGTTAGACATCAAACGCATTCCCAACCAATATAACTAATGTATAATTTATGTTAGTGTATTTCCAACTACATTTCATTACTTTTGTTAGTTAGTAAATTAGGGAGTGTTGTGATTACTATGACAACGGACATAGATAATCTAAGTCCGTGCTATGACGAGATATCACTTGGGATTTTCGGGAGGGTAAAGTTTAAATTGCTACGCACATTGTATGACAAAATCTTGGTAAGATCTTTTGGAGTGTAGATGTTGAGATAACTATGACGAGATCTCGGTAAGATTTTCGGGAGGGTACATAAATTGTAGATGTTGAAATTACTATGACGAGATCGCGGTAAGATTTTAGGGACGGTAGATGTTGAAATTATTATGACGAGGTATCATTGAATAAGATTTTAAGGACGGTAGATGTTGAAATTACTATGAAGAGGTATCAATAAGATTTTTGGGAGGGTAGATGTTGAGATTACTATAAAGAGGCATTGGGAAGATTTTCGGAAGGTTAGACGTTGTAATTACTATGAGAAGATCTCGGTAAGATGTTTGGGAGAGCAGATGTTTAAATTACTATGACGAGATACCAATAAGATTTTCGGGAGGGTAGACGTTGAAATTACTATGAGAAGATATCGGCAAGATGTTTGGGAGAGCAGATGTTTCAAGATGACTATGACAAGATCTCATTATAAGATTTACACATTGTTAATATGTTCATTCCATTTGTCTATTATTCCCATTGAATAAAACCTACAGTAGTTGGTGATAACAGTAACCACGTGTTTGTTCTCTATGCCCCAATGCACATGCACAGTGTAAAACCGTGCCATGCAACTACGTGTATTATAACGTTGACAACAGGACCCGAGCCATCCTCGATATCCAGGGGTTACGCTCACTTATGCTCTCTGCACTTCTCGCATATGTCATGACAAAATCAAAGACTCAGTGTGACCAACTTGTGGATGAGACAAGAAGACCAGTTTGATCCTGAGATGTACATCAGAAGAATCTTGCGGTCGCGTAACGGTAAAATTGACCTGGCTTCAAGTCAGTTGAGTGTCGCTCCTCTGTAATCTTCAAACGATAGGTATCAGCCTAGTCCGAATTATTCTGACGTTTTATATACTTTTTTTTTTATATAGGTCAGAGTAATTCGGACTAGTATCAGCCTAGCGATTGGTCAGGGATTTCTTTTTATCCGAGACCAATCAAAAAGCTAGCCGCGTGCCTTCAACTTTGCTATGACATATTCCAGACATGCAGAGAGTGAAATTGTGCGTAACCTCTGGAGTATCGAGGATGGGCCCGAGCCAACATTAAAAAGCAACGGGAAAGACACCATGAAAACACACAAAACACTAAGGCGAAACCATGAGATCCAGAACATAGGAGTTTACTGCGTCACAGGTCATGATGTCTTCTGTCGAATGAATGGAAAGTTAGTAAGCCATCATAACAATTCTTTAATACAAAAATATAATTATACAAAATAAGAGTTCTTTGTAGACAATTAAATAAATAGAAATCATGTCATGATATATTGGCAATGATAATTCTTCTTTTTAAGCTTAAGTCTCAATTATCGAAATAACAGAAAAAGTTTCAGAGCTGAGAGCATCGGCATTTGGGATGTAACGAACATTACACAGGAGCAGTCTAGCGATCCTAATATGTATGCTTAAAGTCAGATAATTGGTGGTAATCGTGTTAAACCATACAAAGTTTAGCTGTCCCATAATATTAAGTTTAATGACTACACGGATACTTTCGTATTACTGCTAAGCGGAAACTGTAAAACATGTAATGATCATTAATTAGAGATCTGGATTTCACTATTAAGGAGCTCGAGGCTCCATCCTTTTGCAATTAACCAGCAGAATTCGTTGAAACTTTAACAGCTTTCACAGCTACGTGTATTAATCTGAATACCGATCTTTAATTTGTTACTTACATCTGGACGCGACAGGAGTAAACAACACCGTTTAGAAGGGCAAACAAATCGACGAATGGTGTTGTAAAATGAGATTTGAGTGAATATTATATTTAAAACTCGATACTGGGATACAACGTATATCAACATGAAAATCAATACCCAGAAGCATATGGATGAGACGAGAAGGCTAGTTTGATCCTTTGATGTACGTCAAAATATTATTGCGGTCGCGTAACGGTAAAATTGACTGGCTTTGAATTTGGGTGTCGCTCCTCTTTTAATCGTCAAAGGACAGGTATCTGCATAGCTATTGGTCAGGTTTTTTCTACCTGAGACCAATCAAGTAGCTAGCCGCGTGCCTTCAACTTTGCTATGACATATTTCAGGAATGTATAGAGAAAAAGTGTGCGTAACATCTGGAGGCTGGGCCCGAGCCAACATTAAAAAGCAACGAAATAGACACCATGAAAACACACAAAACACTAGGGCGAAACCATGAGATCCAGAATATAGGAGTTTCCTGCGTCACACGTCATGATGTCTTCTGTCGAATGAAAGGAAAGTTAGTAAGCCATCATAACAGTTCTTTAATTCAAAAATATAATTATACAAAATATTAGCTAGAGTTCTTTGTAGACAATGAAATATGCAGAATTCAGTTCATGTTATATTGGCAATGATGATTCTTCATTTTAAGCTTAAGACTCAATTATAGAAATCACAGAAAAAGTTTCAGAGCTGAGAGCATCGGCATCTGGGGTTTAACGAACATTACACAAGAGCAGTCTAGCGATCCTAATATGTATGTTAAAAGTCAGATAATTGGTTGTAATCGCGTTAAACCATACAAAGTTCAGCTGTCCCATAATATTAAGTTTAATGACTACACAGATACTTTCGTATTAATGCTAAGCGGAAACTGTAAAACATGTAATGATCATTAATTAGAGATCTGGATTTCACTATTAAGAAGCTCGAGGCTCCATCCTTTTGCAATTAACCAGCAGAACTCGTTGAAACTTTAACAGCTTTCACAGCAATGTGTATCAATCTGAATACCGATCTTTGCTACCAACATCTGGACGTGACAGGAGTAAACAACACCGTTTAGAAGGGCAAACAAATCGACGAATGGTGTTGTAAAATGAGATCCGAGTGAATATAATATTTAAAACTCGATACTGGGATACAACGTATATCAACATGAAAATCAATACCCAGAAGCGTAAAGCATGTATGTCCCCACTGTAAATTCCATTCATTGATTGCCAAAATTTCAGAACAGAGAATAAAAATATACATAAGGTGATATCAGGTCGGCTTGCCGGAAACCCCTTTTTATATCAACGAGTTGAAACAGATCTCGGCCCCCACCCAAGTTAATAGCCAAATTCGATCTTTTTTCGAAAAGTCTTTACCCAATTTTTTTTTAAACCATGTCAAAAATTAAAGAAATCTTCTAATACTTCATCCACAAATTTCCAGGATACTGAATCCAAGTAATGTTTTTTCAAAATGTATGATTATATCCCTTGTATATATATTAACCCAGTATTTTCCCCAATGTATCATCCAGAAATAAAACTGTTTGATCTGTATATATAAGTTTACTTAATAGTGGTCTGCAGTTTTTCAGGAATCAACGTGGTTTAACCCCTTTTAGTAAACGAGTAATTATGCCCTGTTTTTGAGTTACAGATAATTCACCATTTTCATAACCATTGTTAATTAGTAGATCTTGCTACAAAAATACCTAAATGTTTCCAAAAGCACTTAAACAAATCAACAGAGAATCCATCTGAGCCAGGACTTTAATTAAATACCTGGCCTTTTTATACTTACAGAACAACATACCAGTATATTAGTTTTTAATGTTAACATTTCACTAAGTCAGTTAAAAACAAAACACAGACAAAATATTTACAGTTCATTATCATTTAATGTTACTAGTTTTCTAACGTAAAAAAACTATTTGGTAAGTACATGAAAATCGAATATTAAATAGATATGTTTATATTGTACAATGTTTAATATCAGATCTAATAAATAATATATAAAACTGTCAATAAACATACATCATCTTAAGTAAACAATGCTATCACAGACATTTCACACATAACACTATGCATACGTAACGTAATAATGAGGACAGTTCAGCCTCTGTATCCAGGTACAATATCACGTTGTATTACACACAGTTTGTCATTGAGGACGGGTAAATTCATCAAATATCTTTGAGACTCGCTATCACATTAAACACTGATCGATATGTCCTGGCAGTGTAAATTCATGTTTTAACTTAATCTATCTTCATCACATTTCTGATTTTTTCGGGGTTTAAAATGTTTCTAACATAATGCTTAAATGATCAGAAATAAAAAAAGATTATACATGTATTTCCAAACTGATAATTCCTTACAGGTCCAGAATAACATAGATTAAAGTACACTTTAGATGAGCACAAAAATTAACTGTTAATTCTTTACAGGCCCAGAATGACAGATTAAAGTACACTTTAGGTGAGCACAAAAATGAACTGTTAATTCTTTGCAGGCCCAGAATGACATAGATTAAAGCACACTTTAGGTGAGCACAAAAATTAACTGATACTTCCTTACAGGCCCAGAATGACAGATTAAAGTACACTTTAGATGAGCACAAAAATTAACTGTTAATGCTTTACAGGCCCAGAATGACAGATTAAAGTACACTTTAGGTGAGCACAAAAATTAACTGATAATTCCTAACAGGCCCAGAATGACAGATTAAAGTACACTTTAGATGAGCACAAAAAATAACTGTTAATTTCTTACAGGCCCAGAATGACAGATTAAAGTACACTTTAGGTGAGCACAAAAATGAACTGTTAATTCTTTGCAGGCCCAGAATGACATAGATTAAAGCACACTTTAGGTGAGCACAAAAATTAACTGTTAATTTCTTACAGGCCCAGAATGACAGATTAAAGTACTCTTTAGATGAGCACAAAAATTAACTGTTAATTCTTTGCAGGCCCAGAATGACATAGATTAAAGTACACTTTAGGTGAGCACAAAAATTAACTGATAATTTCTTACAGGCCCAGAATGACAGATTAAAGTACACTTTAGGTGAGCACAAAAATTAGGCATCGTCATTCCACAAACCTAATTTAGCCCTTCACTCAACCACACAATGCTTGACTACATTCATTGTAACACAACATCCATTCATACTTAGTAACTCATACGAACATGCACATTTTTTATGTCTCCTTGAAATAGTTATATACTACATTGTATCTGTGATCACAATTTCATAAAAGCAATCACATTCAATGATACAAAACTGAATTAGAAATACAAACCGAAAATACGAGAAATTCAATAAATAAAATTCAATAAAACCTCACTTCTGCTCATTTTAACATAATGTATTTTCTATGTATTTTCCTAATTATATAACTTCCTCACTCAATCTACATGATAACAAATTATACAGTTATGCTGAAATGTTCAAAAAGGACACTTTACAATTAATTCCTGAACAGTCAATACTTTAATTATACTGTCAGGCACTGTAAAGTTTAACTAACTGTAGGCACAGGTCTGTATAGCTGGACGGACTTTGGCAATATACGCGGTAAAGACAACGATGCATTTAAAGCTTGTATGATAGATAATGTTTGCTAAGAAAAACGTAAATTTTATGACACAACTTAAACCAGATATTTGACACAAGAAATTCAAAAATGAATGAGGTGATTCATAAAACTAATTGCTGTAGATGAGGTATATATGGGGACAGATGAATCAGTTTGAAATTGTCAAATACAGTCAAACTTCTATAAATCAAACTTTAAAGAATTTGAATTTCTTGATGTGTGGAACTTACAGCAAAGTCTAGAATTTTTTTTCTAAAACTAATATTCCATTTATAAATCAAACTTTGATGAATCAAATTTCTCACTTCTTTAGGAAAATATTGAAAATTACAACTTCTTGTGTTCCATCACTTAACAGCTGTCACATTTAGCCTCTGCAGTATATACAGGATCTCAAAGATATTCGAAGTTTAACATTCATGAGTCGAAGTCTTGATGTTTCGATTTTTTCCTGATGGTCACACAAAGTTCGAAACATCGAAGTTTGACTGTATTTCTGGTTTAGATTGGTCCTGTCCAGCTGAGAGCTGTCACATTGACCATGTTGTGGCCCACATCATATGACGGCATGGCAACTTATCTTTTCAGTGTAGAATCAAAGTCACTTACAGAAGACATTTAGTGACGATCAGGGTGTGTTACCTCTCTCCCCGAAATATGAAATATTTGAAAACATCTACGGAACATTTGCCTTGCAAGAGAAGAAAGTTTCCATCCAATGGACCTTTTTTTCTCCAATACTGAACTCTAACAATGACTTGCCAACCCAAACATGCACATGAAAATGAAATAATGAACATATAAATTATGATGGGACAGATGTTGACTTGTGCATTTTGGATTAACCAACCAGTACTGTAGTGCCAAATTTATAGTAAAATCGTCTATTTGGCATCTAACAAGGACAACAGTTATTCATGGCACAAATTGGTACCAAGCTACAAAAATAACAAAAACAACATCCCTTAGAAAAATACAGAGTCTGAGGTACAAGACTTGGGTTGTTTTCTCCTTCAAATACGGTATGAGGGAGAAGACATGCAATTCAGAAAGACATTCGCCATTACAAAAACTAAGATATCTAGCACTATTGATATGTGGCAGTAATTTTGAAGGTCTCCTCGTTTTTATCGTCCTCGTCATTGATAAAGACCATGACCTCGACACTACCGGCCTTAGTAACCGGTGTAAACCGTAGCCCGATGGTCTGGGTCTCTCCGCCCTCGATCTCCAGTCGTGACTCGCGGAACTGTAACAGGTCCTCACGGTTATTCAGGAGAACAAATACCTTTTTGTGCGGGTAGGGATTTGTGTACGGGATTCGTTTGCTGCAGCCCTTTCCACCACCCATCGGGAGAACTACGTCAAAAGATCGAGAGACCATAGGCGGACGACAAGTAACACACACAAGCCATGAGCGTATAAGTTGATGATATTCTACATCTACTATGTTTATGTAGAAGAATTTGTTTCCTTCTTTCATTGGGCGGACTGCGACAGTCATCTCGTGAACAGCTCCAGCTGTCAGCATAAATTGATCGCCCGGAAACATCTGCATCTCGTTCGGGTGCGACGAGTAACAGCGTACCAGGCGTGAGGCTTGTGTTCCTCTGTAATAAAACACAACGTTACGTCATACTCTGTAATACCTGATTTCATACTTGTATCACATAAAATTGTAGCCATACACAGATAAACAAACACAAGCAGAACTTTTATATTCAGTATTGATGGGAAGCCTTCATTTTGTAAACACAAGTTAAACAAAAAGTTCTGAAACTAAAAGTCAGTTGTCTAAATTATACTATGAAATTTGAATACTGTGAAATCACTGATTTTTGTTCTAAATATCATTGAATTAGTGACATACTCTTCATCCATGAATTCATACGTCCACAAAGTAATTATAGGTTTGACATATAGCTATTACACGTATGATTGCGTATACGTATTGTAATCCACAAATGTATGTACCTAAGAAATTGTGTGTTTTTTGGTGAAACCACAAAATGCGGACCTCAAAAAAGTATCTGATTTCACAGTTTAGTTTACTCTAAGATTTGAATATTTTTTTATGTAAAAATTTAAATACTATAAAATGAATAATGTCTGCCAATCTATTTTTGTCCATGACCTTGACATATGTACTGACCTGAGGAGGAGGTCGAAGCGACTAGTCTGGCCCTCCACACAAGCTACGTCTACACGCTGTAGGGCGTGCACATAAAACTGCCATATCTGTACCGGTCGTGCCATAAACGGATCAAAGTACATCGCTACAAAGAACCGTTTACTTTGGGGAGACGGCCCCATAGCCACCTGTAATATAGAAAAGTCACATTTTTGTTTAATATTACTGACTTTGCTTGTTCGTACCAGCCCTTAAATACCAACATTTCCTTTTCTATTTCTTAACCATTTCATCTTCTTTAATTATATTCTGATCAAACTGTCTTTTTTCAGCAAAAAGGAATGCAAACAATGCAATGTGGGGTTTTTTCTTGGCCTTTGATATCTTTTATAAAATACGACCATTTTATGACATTCAATATTCTGTCCAGAAAGGTACAGCTCTAGTGAACAAGCTTGTGGACAACCAGTTTATCCATTTTAAAATGTAACATTTTTGGATATAAATCCGAGCGGACCTGCAAAATATTTATGCAGGCCTTGCAAGGCTTTGTCAAGGCTCGCCTAAATGCAGCATCAGATTACTAGGTCAGACCTTATTTCATAAACGAACAACTCAGGTCCAACCGTTTGTAATGCGATAAACGAAAGTGGCCTAGTATTTATTTTTCATCACTGACACACACACAGAGGAGTATATATATATACCTTGAGGAAGACATCAGTAGGTTCCCCAGGTTGGGTACTCTTGCTGTCACAGATCACGTGACTATTGCTACACCTGACAAACACCTGGTTCAGTCCTGGCCCGCCCACTGGAGCACCTGAGTCAGATATAAACCCATACAGATATAAAACACAACACAGAAATGGAGACAAGGCATCAATCCTGACTGACACAAACCTGTCTGTAGTACCTGTTCATAAATAGATACCAGGGAAAAATGCGATCCAATGTCCACTAGTGGATGTCCAGTGCAGTTCTGCGTATCCAAGTTGATTGATTTCTAAATGAAATTCACTAGTCCCGGCATAAGAGCAATCAAAATTCAAAAGAAGAGATGTCCAGTCAACATCAAATGGGAAATCTCCGCAAATTTAATCCAATTTACATGGTCAAGTAAAAAAATAACAGTTAATTTTTTTGGAAAAAAATTGTGCAATGGATTTTAAGTTTAAAATATTAACAGTACTGCCATAGTTTTACTACAGCTTTTCTCGGCCAACTGTCATCAGAACAATGTAAAAATTCAAAAGATACCTAGAGTACAAAAAGCGTTGCCTAGCGACAAATAACAAATAAAATGTATACACCTATAGTGATATCTACATTAGTAAAATAGAACAATGACATCATAGTATAGTTACAATGTCTGGTATGAGATGTAAGGACATTCTCATAATCAATCTTTGTTTATAAATACATTGCAAATTTTTAATAATTTCTCATGATTAATGATTTTCAAGGTTGTGGCATTTAAGTATTTTTTTTTCAAGCATATGATCTACTAACTTGTACAATCCTTTTCAAGGTAAACTAGGTGTACACATTTAAATCAGAAGTGATTAGAGGAGATTTCCTGGAGATTTCTATGCTTCCTTATCAGCTCAGCTTACCTGGAAGTGACTGGAAAGGTGGCATGCGGATGGACTTCTTGAGGAAGGACTGTTCCGGGTGGTAGAACCGGAATGTCTGGTCAATGATGTGAGGCTGTGGTTCAACATTCACGTTTAGGATAGACACCGGTTTACCATCCTCATTCTTAAAGTAAACCTGTAGAAGAGAAAACAACTTGGTAATTAAGACATCAACAAAACTAGAAAATGTCTGTAAGACATGAAAGCCCCTACCGCTATGTTCTAACTAGTTTCAGTCTTTCTCATCTGAGGTATCATTATACCTGAAATCTGTATAAACTTTGATGAAAGTTTGTTAAGAAATGAAGTAGAGTGATGACACTGAATCATTTGATGATTTTTTTATATATAGCAACAGTGACCTTGGCCTTGACCTTGGCACCTTAAAACATAGACATATCAGAGGTATTTTTATACTTGATGTTCATATAAAGTTTGTTCAAAATCAATCAGTTAAAGTTGGTTAACTGAAAGTCAATGGTGGCCTACGCCTTGACCTTGGAATCCTAAAACACGAACGTATCTGATGTATTTGCATTTTGACATTTGTACTAAGTTTGATGAAAATCCATCAAAGAATGAAGTTGCTAGAGTGTTTACAATGAATCGTGCTGGGAAGGGATATTACAGAATGGGACAGGACAGGACGGTACAGACATGGACAACACAATATTACCCCATTTAATGATGGCGGCATAAAAAAATAACATCAGTAGTGCTAAAACATGTATTGGAAATCTTAGATAGGAGGAAATAAGATGTGGAGATGTTCATGATTATTCTGTGGCTTCAACACTTACCTTGATGGATTTCTCATTCATGGTCTGTGAGGGAGGTTTCTTGATGTCTTCATCATCCTCATTCTTCTGTTTGAATGGATCCACAGGGCCCTGTAAATATAACCAATCAGATATAATAGACATCACTGTGTCCTGTAAATATGACCAATCAAATGTAATAAACATCACTGGGTCCTGTAAATATAACCAATCAGATATAATAGACACCACTGTGTCCTGTAAATATAACCAATCAGATATAATACACATCACTGTGTCCTGTAAATATGACCAATCAAATGTAATAAACATCACTGGGCCCTGTAAATTTAACCAATCAGATATAATAGACATCACTGTGTCCTATAGATATAACCAATCAGATATAACAGACATCACTGTGTTCTGTAAATATGGCCAATCAGATATAATAGACATCACTGTGTCCTGAAAATATAACCAATCAGATATAATAGACATCACTGCGTCCTGTAAATATAACCAATCAGATATAACAGACATCACTGTGTTCTGTAAATATGACCAATCAGATATAATAGACACCACTGTGTCCTGTAAATATGACCAATCAAATGTAATAAACATCACTGGGCCCTGTAAATATAACCAATCAGATATAATAGATATCACTGTGTCCTGTAAATATGACCAATCAGATATAATAGACATCAGTGTGTCCTGTAAATATAACCAATCAGATATAATAGACGTCACTGTGTCCTGTAAATATGACCAATCAAATGTAATAAACATCACTGGGCCCTGTAAATTTAACCAATCAGATATAATAGACATCACTGTGTCGTGTAGATATAACCAATCAGATATAACAGACATCACTGTGTTCTGTAAATATGACCAATCAGATATAATAGACATCAGTGTGTCCTGTAAATATAACCAATCAGATATAAAAGACATCACTGTGTCCTGTAAATATGACGAATCAGATATAATAGACATCACTGTGTCCTGTAACTATGACCAATCAAATGTAATAAACATCACTGTGTACTGTAAATATAACCAATCAGATATAACAGACATCACTGTGTTCTGTAAATATGACCAATCAGATATAATAGACATCACAGGGCCCTGTAAATATAACCAATCAGATATAATAGATATCACTGTGTCCTGTAAATATAACCAATCAGATATAATAGACGTCACTGTGTCCTGTAAATATGACCAATCAAATGGAATAAACATCACTGGGCCCTGTAAATATAACCAATCAGATATAATAGATATCACTGTGTCCTGTAAATATGACCAATCAGATATAATAGACATCACAGGGCCCTGTAAATATAACCAATCAGATATAATAGATATCACTGTGTCCTGTAAATATGACCAATCAGATGTAATAAACATCACTGTGTCCTGTAAATATAACCAATCAGATATAACAGACATCACTGTGTTCTGTAAATATGACCAATCAGATATAATAGACATCACTGTGTCCTGTAACTATGACCAATCAAATGTAATAAACATCACTGTGTCCTGTAAATATAACCAATCAGATATAATAGACACCACTGTGTCCTGTAAATATAACCAATCAGATATAACAGACATCACTGTGTCCTGTAAATATGACCAATCAGATATAATAGACATCACTGTGTCCTGTAAATATGACCAATCAAATATAATAAACATCACTGGGTCCTTTAAATAAAACCAATCAAATATGATAAACGTCACAGGGCCTTGAGAATAACACCAATGATATATATCACAGGGCCCTGCAATTATAACCAATCAAATATAATAAACGTCACAGGGCCTTGATAATAACACCAATGATATATATCACAGGGCCCTGCAATTATAACCAATCAAATATATGTAGTAACTGTCACAGGGTTTTGAAAATATCACCACTGATATATAACCTAAGCATCATTTTTGCATTGGGCCCTGTAACTATAAACAGTTCCATATTATAAATACATGTATAAGAGAAAACATGGGTCAGAAAATATATGCAACAGGCCTGTCCGGGGCCTGCTTTGTAGATATCCCTTCTTTCTTGCTAGTAGATAGTTAGTTTCATAAAGTGTTATTGTACTGAAAACCCAAATCAAGGGACAGCGTGGAGAATCAACATAAAACAAAATCTACAACTTTCAGGAACAAAGGGAGAGAAAACCTGTAATAAAACTATCATGGCAGTACGTACAGTACTGTTAATATTTTATATTAAAATATCCATTGTACAAAATTTTCTCCTAAAACTTTAACTGTTATTTTTGACTAGACCTTGTTTGTTAAAATGAGTAATATGAAAGTCAAAGAAGAGATCTACCATAGTGATGGAATCTACAGTAAAACCAGTCTAATCTACCACCGTGCACGTGTCTGATCCGACACAATAATGTAATACTATCTCCAAAGAACACTAACAGATAGAACCTGTATATTCTGACATCTTGTATAATATGACCTATATTGTGTCCTACTTAATGCCAGATAAGGCAGGATTCATTGTATACAATTTATTTGAAAAAAAACCTGTCCAGTGATAGGCACAATACCTGCGGCTGGACACTCTCATCAGCTGTGAATGTGAGGTACTTGAATGGGATCTGGACTGTCTCTTTTGGCCGCAGGAAAATCTCCACATACTGTGCCTTGCTTTGTTTGTTGAACATACCCTCTTCCACTTCCCCCTGTAGTTCATACAGCCTCTTAAAATAACGCCACTCCCTAGGGTCTGTCACAACACTGCAAGGTAAAAGCAGATCATTATAAATACAGCACTCCCTAGGGTATGCCACACACTAAAGATAAATGTAAAGCAATCTAATTTTACACCACTCTCTGGGAGCTGTCACAATCCTGAAGATAAATGTACAGAAACTTATAAATACACAATTCTCTGGAAGCTGTTATTATGCTGAAAATAAGTGTACAGCACATTCAATTTCTCCCACAACCACTATAGGTTTCCTCACTAACACTTCCGACTTATGGATAAACCTGCCAGGAGTTGGTAGACATTTTTGCTACCCACTAGTGGGTAGCACCGGTACCCTGGATGATATTTCATTGATCAATCTTCTAATTATGACGTTAAGTTACAAAACTTTGCAACATCATATTCCATTGTGACCTCATAGCTACATAGCAGTTGTTTCCCTGATCGGAAACAGGTATAATGTATTCCCAAGACAAAATATGTTTTTCTAGATATATAATATCTGGAGTTTATTGGAGAAAAAAAGTTCCCAAACTTGTGACTGTTGATTATCGTGTTTATTTAACTCTCTTTAGTAAACCTTGTGTCTTTATTCAATTTGAAAATTAACTTTTTTGACTAAGATAAACATGATAATCAACCATCACTCATTAGGGAGCCTCTACTTATACAACTCCCTAGAGTTTGGAATATTCTACAATATGGTGGTTATATTTTGTTAGGGTTATATATTTTGTTATATATATCGTGGTCTAAACATTATCCACAAATTGCTAACTCCTGTAAATTATTCTTCCATGTGAAACCTATTATATAATACATAATACAGAATATTAATTCTATAATGTGGTGCACCTTTAAAAGAAATAGATCATACTCAAATTTTGATACCAAGAAATTAAAACAGACAGCAGTTTGAACATGTTACACATGATTTTGTTTAATGAACTGAGGACCCTTTACTCTGTTTTATATGCTAAAGAGGTTATTAACATAAAATATTCATCAATAATTGAATTAAAAATCACAATGAAGCCTCTGCTATCCAGCCGATTTTGTTCTCAGTAAAAATAACTTGATTGTTAGACAGTTAAATTATAAGACAATTTGTACTGCAAAAAAAACCATCACCCAAAACACTAGTTCTGGATTCAAATCCCGGTCTATATATCCTCGCTAATTTTTATACTCAAGAATACTATTGTGGATTATATTTCATTTATTTCATCTTCATCCTTTTTAAAAGTCCCACAAAGTATGGTTTTCTTTTCATAAATGATTTATCAAACCTATAGTCGTGCTGTAAAAAGTTTCCAAAAGTTTTCCAATAGTTTGTTACAGTATCTGGCAAGAGGATCCTTAAATACTGACTCCAAAGATTTATAAACAAATCTTACTGTAATTCCTTATCATCAAATTCCACTGTTATGGTCTGTTGTACATTAAATGGATTTTTAAAGACATATTCGAAGAACTCTGACGAGCCAAATGACGGATGGACTGTGTAGTTCGTGGAGATGGTCTGACTCAGCATGCTCATGATTCCATCCTTCTTAGTCTGCAGACGGTAAATCTCTATCGTCTTATAGTCTCTCATACGATCCGACTTCTCCGTCTTGTAACTCTGAAATGTAAACAGTCTGTGTTAAAAGTATTTCGCTATAATTTTAATGAAGAATACAAAGAATATGGCTATTTCCAATGTCATTTTTTTTTTTTTTCGTAAATGCTACCAATGAAAGAAAATTTGAAAGAAATTAAAGATAAGATAATTTAATTTTTTTTTTTTTTATATAACTACATTGGAGCTCCCGTAAAAAACTTACACCAAGTCAAAAAGCTATAACGTGACATGCTATTTACACAGGATTAAAGTTTACTTATACATGTATCACGTATATAGAGAGGTCCAACATAAATCGCCCTATCAGCACATCAGGGTTCCAACACTGTCAAATTAAATGCTTTAGACAACATGATTGACTGCTGTGGTAGCAACAACTCACCATTATAGTGTTGACCTTGTTGTCGATGCCCTGAGCCTGGCGTACAGCGTGGATACGAGATAACTTCCTGTTCTTCTCGGCGTCTCCCTCACGATTCGTGTCCTTTTCCGGCACCATCTGATCTTTGTGTGACATCAGCATGGCCTGTACCTCGTGGTTCTTGTCTGCCACGTGTTTCGCTCGAGCGACCTTTTTCAACTGGGATTCACCTAAACAACCAGGCATATTGACGTATTAACTCAGATTACTATCTTTTCAATACTGTATACCCGGAAATTTTCGCCCTCCACTGGTAGAATCTGTTTTTCCGCAGCGTTATTTTTTGTCTTCCCATGGTATTACTTTGTATAGAATGTGTAATTATCGTCACTGCCGTGATAAATTCGCCCTCGTGACAGAGGGGGAAAAAGGCGAAAATTAAGCTGTGGCGAAAGGTCCCCGGTATACAGTATCTCAAAATATATAATATACGATTATACAATAATTTCTGTAAAAATTGATAGGTGAAACCAAATTATTTGTTAACTTTTTGCTGCTTTGAAAATATCCTTAAGATTCTGTAAGCAAATTTATGAATTATTTTATTCAGTGATCAGAATTATACAAAAGGTTCCAGCTACAGCCATGTACTGTAAAACTTCCATAGATCACATTAACTTCCACTTTATCATAGCAAGACAAACGTTATCATAATGATGAACATATTTGGAAATGCAGGTAATCACGAACACCATTAAATCAAATTTGAATTTAAAAAAACTGAAGTGACAGTAAAATTTACATTTAGAAAGGAAATTAAGGGATGATGAAAGATTAATGGAAAAGTGGCCCTTGTAATATGAAAGTAGGCCAGCTGGTTAATGAAAAGGGGCATTAAATCAAATGTTTAAATGTTAAGAGTGAGAAAAGAGGGTATTATATCAAAGTTTCATTGACTCACAAAATATAAATAAAATATCAGTCGCAGATATATATATAGTAATTAAGGTCAAGATTTTGTTTTGTATTTCCAATTGTTATATACTTCTGTGCTATTCCTGCATATATTGAATTGTCAGACTGGTTCTGATATTGTTAAAAAAAGAAGCTGTTACCAGGAGTAGCACTAGAAGAAGTGAAGGTACCCGTAAGACCTCCACCTGGGTACGAGCTGTTCCCCGCTGTCTGAGACAAAACGCGCGGCTTTTTCCCTGTGTGGCCTATCTGTGCTGTAAATATTATAATAGCAAGTCTAGTCTAAATCTAACTGGTAAAGAATCTAAGATAGCGTGTGTGTAAATTTTAATAAAAATCTAAATGTTATCAAGAGAAGGTAGAATAAAAATGATCTGCAAGCAAGCTGATGAACAGAGAAAATTTATGTTGTCTACAATAATAACAATAATTTTAATGAAGTTAAGTGTGTGACTAATATTTTCTGCACATGTGAACTCCATCAAATGACAAATTTACATTACAAACAGGACCATCAAAGCGTCCGTCTACTATAATAGTAAGTTAGTTTTTAAACCAGTATTATGGTAAATCAAAAATCTATAAATTAACCATTTAGTGTTTTGCTCTGATTTTGTATTTACAGGTTTTTCCCAGTGATTTCAGACAACCATAAACTTTCGTTCATCAGGCTTACAGTTTGTGGATATTTTCGGGCCCAGTTGCTTGGAGCACTTAAGTTAAGTGTAAATTTTCAATAAACAAACAATCTGAAACTGTTCCAGTGTTTTTGTGTTTATTTGTTTTAAGATGACCACCTAAAAATATTCACGCATGCATTTTTCACTTCATTGTGTAAAATTTTTATATATTTGAGTTAATATCCTATTAAGGATAACGTACTTCAAGCAACTAGGTCTTGGTAGGTATCTACAGAGTAGGAAATTGAATCTGGAGAAAAATATTAAATCTATTCTATATGTCTACATATTATGTAGCATACAAAGTTTTATCAACAGATCCAGAATAGCAACTAGATCTCGGGAAAGCTGAAAAGTAGAGCAAGCTAGTAGATTCACAATGCTTGAAATATATTAATTTCACAAATTTATAAATACTGAAGGAAAGCTGTAAGGTATCAAATGACAGCAAATGCTTAAATTTGAAGAAAATGACCGTTGTTGTTTGTTTACAAGCCTTCGTTGTGACTATTACATGTATTCAGGATCCCTGTCCTACTGCACTGTGGTTTTCCCTATAAACAGTAGCCTCCCCTTAACCTCTGTTTGGATATAACAGTAGCACAGCTGGGCAAGGAGACTTCTGTTGATGAGCTAGCTCAGTTGGGTTAGAGCTAAAGTATAACAATCTGAAGTCCAGGGTTTGAATTCCTACCTGGCCTCACAGAATTTTGATATTCAGAACACTGTTGTTGATTATGTTTTGTTTATTTTTCATAAAAGTCCAGGAATGTATGTTTTATTTTCAGAAATGATACATGTATATCAAAGCTGTAATCCTACCAAAAAAACCCAACAGTTTCCAATATGTAAATCAGTTTTTGGCAGTGGTACGGGGATCCTTAGATTGTTGGTGTATCTAAATATCAAACATTTAATTTTGAAATTTTCACATATTTATAAATGATCATATGTGTGACAAACCCTATATCTCAAGCATTCTGAGTCTGTGATGGAGAGAAGGATGGATACATGAAGTTGACAAAAACACATGATAAAGGACTCTTTACTTTTCTTTTTGCCTCCCATATGAGGTAACAGGGTATTTAATGGTTTCAAATGATCTACAATAACAAAATTCAGGGTATATTTCTCTTTACCTTGTACAATCATGCCATACAAAAATCATCTTATTTAAATACATACAAACAATAATAAACGGTTCTTTATACAGTAAACATACTGCGCAATCAGATATTTTTGTGGGCCCAAATTTCTCAGTTTCCTGAAAAAACACTATTTTGTGGGTACATGAATTTGTGGACTACTAGTATAGTACCAAATCATATGGAGAATAGCTTTGTGTCAAACTTGTAATTACATGTACTTCATGGACCTATGAATTCCAGGATAAGGGTACCCATGGAATCAATGAAATTAAAACCCCACGAAAATTAATGATTTCACAGTAAGTTTTAATTTAATATACAATATCTCTCTTCGTGTTTATTTATTAACAGTGAATAGGGAGAGATCATAGACGGTGGGATATTTGCATATATCTACAATGTCTAATGTATATTAAAGAATTTCATATTAAAAATAATATTGAAATACATGTAGTAGAAAAACTGGAAATGGTGTGGTCTCCTTCATAACCACTCTATTTCAAATTTTCAAATGAAGACAAATTGAAAGAAGGATATATATATAGGTACCCAAAAAAAAAAACTCATCTGAAGAAAATACATATAAGTCAACATTATAATTTGCAGAAATAAGCTTATTAACAATACTCCTCAAAATTAATGTCAGGAGAATTGTCTGTTTCTTGTTACCTGCCAGTGTAGATTTCGGATCTGTTTTTTGCCCGATGTTTGCCATTCGGAGGTGGAGTTTGCCTTTTACGTAGGTCTTTACTCCAAATGCTTGAAGCCCACCCACTTGATTAATGTTGCTGTTGACTATATTTGGGTCGTTTTCATACTCGGTCGTTATGACGTCAAGTTCAAAGGTCGTCTGTACAGCCTCACTTCCACATCGACACAAGTACTACAAAACAGAAATTCACAGATAAAGATATCAGACAGTGCTATCACTGCATTAACACACACCATAACCTATTCACCCCCTACATATTAAAATTAGACTCGCCCAGTCTTTGATTTGGAAGGTTCAAATGTGACTTTAGGGATGAAAGGGTTAACTATTGCCTTAACATTTCTGCACACTGTCTACAATTTTCAAGCTATATCAAGACATTGTACCAGAACTATCTACAAGATGCAGGAGCAGAGGGACTTTATAATCATCATCAATCAACACTTCTGAACTAGAACGAGAAGTGAAAACATTATTTTTGTCCAAATCAGCATGTTTTTAGTTACTGATTTTGGTAACAGTGATACAGTAGGGCTGCAACAATACATATTTAAATGATATACTTAGCGCCGTACGATGCTTACGATACAATATGTACCACGATACTATTATCTGCTTTAAAGGTCGACTTCATAATGATTGAGTGCAGGATTTTATGGAGTTTTGTCATAGTAGTCTACTAATACTATCGAAATATATTTTTGTAAAATTTCTAGTACTTTTGGGTATGACTGCACAATAGACCACATCTTTACTGAAGGATTCTGCACAAAATATAAGTACACTTTTTTAGAGTTTGAAAAAAATGATTGATAATTTATGTATAATAAGTGTATCGAGATACAGGCAAACAAAACAATTTGATTCGATACACAAGAAAGTATTGTGATACGATACAATACAATATATTCTTACAGCCCTATGATACAGCTGTTGGTAAACCAAATACCTAACTACATGTACCTAATCAACAGGTATACACTGGTAATCTAACACATTCATCTGACTGGACAGACACCAGTATAGACTTGATTCTGTTAGCAGCCATGTACAAAATAAAGGAGGCCTGGGCCCGTATGAATTCATGAGGTCGTTCTCATGCGAAAGCATGGATTTTGTGCTTAAGTCTAATTTCTTGTTCCAGTTATCAATTAATAATAAAAAATCTTATTTTGTCAACAATTTGGAAAAAAATGAAGAGACTTAAAGCAGAATACTGTTTTCAATGTTTACATTTGACTTTTTGAATGTTTGACATGAATTAAGTAAGTTACAAGAAAGTAATTGGTTTTAGCACGGAATCCATGCTTGAGCATGCATGGAATGGTTTAATGAATACATACCCTGGTCTCATTGATTTGCATATGACACTACTTCAAAATAGAAACATTAAATCACCTGACCTCTGACTCTTGACCCCCGACACGTAGCACATGACCCTATTCATGATATTTACAACTGTGCCGCTTCATTAATCCTCTGCTTGACCTCTGGCACTTTACTCATGACTGGTAGCACACAACCCAATCATGATTACAACTGTTCCGATTTATCAACCTGTTGTGTGACCTTTGACTTCTGACCTCTAACCTTATGTTATACATCCCATGACCCCATCAGTAGCCCTGACCTTGAGTTGTACTGCACATGACCCCATAAGTAGAAGTGTGTCTCCGTCCCAAACATCTATGTGGAGGACCTGTTGAAATAAGTGTTTCAGGAACAGGGCGTTCTCGCCAGGCTTCATACAGGCTGGGTCCATGTGGTACCGCACCTGTTACAGAAATGTAATTAAGTCAAGCAAATCAGAAAGAAAACACAGACAAAGGACTAATGTCAGATGAGGTTTCAAAGGAAATATATAAGAAAGAAATTTACAGGTAAAGTAGAGATTAAATCTTTGTCACTGTCACGTTTGATGTGCCTGAAGTGATGATAAAAAGGTAGTCAGACAATACAACTTTAATAATGTTTGAGATTTTACATCGTCATAACATCTCTTAAGTATCTAATGTTAATATATAACAGGCAAATGACTGATGGTGGAAACTGTTTACCGATTGTCAATGAAAGTACAGACACTATTTATTTTTTGTTAATTACCATGTTCCAAACGGTCCGACCGGTTTGACAAGATTTTGTTCAACTATAAAATATGGGCAGACCTACTTTTATTGAGCTGATACAGTTTTCTGTTGACTCTTGACAAAGACCTTCAAGGCCCCTTTATCAGCTGTTTAATATTTATTTCCACAAAATGTTACCAGTAGACCAACTAGTGTCCACATAAACACAAGGCCCCATAACCGGCCCTCATGGCCAGATGGGCCTGAGTCATGTTTTGTCCTACATGTAACCTACCCTCATGCCCAGAGGGGCCTGAGTCATGTTTTGTCCTAACCTACCCTCATGCCCAGAGGGGCCTGAGTCATGTTTCGTCCTAACCGACCCTCATGCCCAGAGGGGCCTGAGTCATGTTTCGTCCTAACCGACCCTCATGCCCAGAGGGGCCTGAGTCATGTTTCGTCCTAACTTACCTCCATGCCCGGAGGGGCCTGAGTCATGTTTCCATCCGGCTGAATCTTCTGTAGTATGTACGGTACTGAGTAACGGTCAGATGACAACTCGTTCTCAGGTTTGGCCAGCATCATTCTAGAAACAAGGGAACAAAATATAGGATGAATTTTCAGGTGGAGGTACACAATTTACTGTCCACCATTAAAGCGTTAAAGCATCCAACTGAATACTGAAAATACATGAGATAAACTTACTTATATTTCTGTATAGTGATCAGACACTGTTTCAGTGTCACACACTACATGTGCAGCTATCAATAACACAGAGGATTACATGACAGGGATATATATTTAGTGGTTATCACAATTAAGTGCTTTCAAATATGCATGAAAATTGTTAAAACATAACAAATGCTGAATTAAATGTTTTAAGTGTAATTTTTCAGTATACTAAAAGATGACAGTGTCGTATATAACTATGTAAGTAATAATACATGGATTTTATCTGACATCCATCGACAACACAGGTTTACTATACAGACAAACACATCTGTCTGAGTGCTCTTAGAAATTAATGGTATGGTATTTATCACATTAAACAAGTGCTTATTTTTTTTTAGAACAACATAATAAAAAACTCATCACTTATTATGAAATTTCTTTGTATCACAATGCCTTAGTCTAACTCTTCATCTAACTTGAGTTATTTACTTAAAAATGTAAATATAAGGAATGAAAGTTATTTTTTCAACATTCATGAGGTCATAACTTTTTGGCTTTTTGGACATATTCCATGAATCGCGTTAGCGATTCTTGATATTATGTCCAGAAAGCCAATGTTGTTATGACCTCATGAATGTTGAAAAATAAATTTCATTCCTTATATTTACATTTTTAAATGCTTAAATAACAATAATTCCGGCATTGTAATTATATTTGTGCATGGGGGCAACGCAGTAGAGAGAACAGCGTGTTTTCGTGGGAAAATGTAAAACTTCCGGTGGGGGTCCTACCAACAGCATGACAACAAAACAAACAGAATATAGTTGTATTTTCAAATGTTATTTGTAGAACTAACACACGTCGGATATCATTATCATGTACCTTACACACCTCATTTGAGAATTAAGATGAAGCCTATGATGTTTAGTGCTAATCATGTAAGCAGAACTAAACTAAACTAAACTCCATTTTTGCATGCCTCTCCAACAGTAGAATAATATTTGCAGGTTATGGTAGAAACAGGAAATATCATAGGATTGCTTTTTTGATACCATTTCACTTATGATACAGACCTTTGGACATTTGTTGACCTACTTTATACATAACTTATTTATGTACTTTGTTGTAAACTGACCTCTGTAGTAACTTATACACTGATATGTGTGGTGACCTATATATTTACCTCACAGTGGTGACCTATATACTATTGCCCTTTCAGTGGTGACCTATATATTGCCCTCTAAGTGGTGACCTATATATTGACCTCTCAGTGGTGACCTATATACTGCCCTGAGGTGACCTATATACTGATCTATCAGTGTTGACCTATACATGTATATATTTACCTCTCAGTGGTGACCTCTATACTGACCTCTCTGTGGTAACATATATACTGACCTTTCAGTGGTGACCTGAGGACACCTGTAGAATTGGAACGTGAAGAATACTGTTTTTGTTTCAGTTTTTGGTCCTGTTGCTTCAAATGTCATCATTCTAAAATAAATAAACAGATTATCAGAACACAACAAAATTGATTTCACTAAAAACCATCTTGCAAAACAATGGATCTTTATAAACAAACATAGTTCATTTGGTCAGAGGACAAGTTCTTCAAAATACCACATAAGTCTTGTTAAGTTGGTTTTGTCGAAATCAAAATGTGTTGGTATATATATATATATATATACCATAAATTGTCTAATTTTTGTATACCAGTGCACTCATTTTTGTTTACAAGTACACTCATTTTTGTTACCGTTCTACCAACAATATATATATTTGGAGGATACAAATGAAAGAAATAACATTGACTGCCTTGTGATTAATATATTACTTTTACCAAATAAACCATCTCTCCTTAAAAATATTGGTGAAAATATTTTTATCCTATAATATGTAAGTGAAAAACTGTATTGTATGATATTTTTCAGGACAAAGTCTCGAGATTCACTGTCTACAGTTACATCAGATAACACTCACTTGGAAAATGCCAGGAACTGGAAGACAATTTCATTACATTGTAGAGGATCAGAGTTCTCCTTACTGAGGTCAAGTCTACGCTGCTGTCGTGGGTCAATGACCTCAGGCGGCTCACTGTTCCTGTCCAGTATCGGCTCAAATCCTGCGTTAAAGAGTCGGGCATACGCCGCCCGTGACAAACCCTGGGCCCTGTTATATAACAAAGGCGATGTGTTAATGGCCAGAGAATATAAACAGTACTTAGTGTCTTTGTTTCTCTCTATAAAATGCAGTAGAAGTTTTCATAATCCTCTGCTTTTTTATGATAGAAATATAAAACATAAATTTCTATAATAATGTGTACGAAAGAGATTTTACATTGTGAAGGGAGATTACTCCTAAATTTTACTTTCTGTTGTAGGAAGGTTTGAATTTAATAAACATGTTCTAAAAACTTTAAAAAAATCTAAGATAACATTTTTTTTCATCAATTATTTTAAACATCAAACAATATTTATACTTTTTTTCAAAAGTGTGTTCAATATCTTTGGCAGTGTTTTGTCAATTAAAAAATGTTCATGCATTAATGTTCCATTTGGATCCACTAGGAATTTTCAGAAATAAAATCCACAAAATTCATCTCAGTATGTAGCATTAAAATAAATAAAACAAAAACTTCACCAGAAGTGCAAAAAGTGAATTATATAAGAAATTACCTCCTGAAAAGTTGCTACATACACATATATTTATTTTCTGTGTAACCTGGTAGGTATAACCCAGCAGCTTCATTACTTAGTTTAGTATATGACTTTTGTTGTTGTTTGTAATTCATATGCTACACATTACATAATATACGATTCCCATATTTAATACTAGCACTTGGATACCAGTAAAGATAAAGGGGAGACAACTGATTTAGACTCACCCGGCATTTGCGTGGGGCTGCACCACTATGGGGGCATGGACGGGGGTAAAAGGGAGTTCATTCATCTCCGTAGACATCCCAACCTGTCGACTGCTCATGGACTGAAACAAATACAAAATGCTTGTTAAGCTTGGTGCAGAACTTAAATTTCTCCTTTCACACCCTCAATTATGAGATAACATTAGAAAGATATTGGCAAAATCTAACTATAGAAATACAAAACAAAATTTATACACAAATATCTGAATCAGTTTTGATTATTTTCAAAACGAACAAAAATATTTATATTATCGCCACTGTAAAGCATCAAAGTAAATACAAACTAACAATATTGTTATATATAAAAGCATAACAAGAGAACTATTATGTGTCCAATCAATGAAATATTCGGTTCTTTCTGATAATAAAACCTCATCAGGGTTCCAATAAAATCATCACATCAAATTTGCTTTAAGAGTAAAAGGAACCAAAAGAAACCACGGAGAAAGATAAAAAAAAATGTCTATGCTGGTTTGAATATGAATGAGACTTTTTAACATTTTTGATATTATGCACAACAGTCACATTCAAGGATACATGTACCCATACAATGCATCATGGGAATATGTATGTTTGAACTGAGCTGACAGTATTGCAAACATTTACAAATGTCAAAAAAAGAATGCCATTCAATCTTTAAATATAAACTTTATTTATTTTACAACAATTATGAAACAAGTTTTCAAAACTTAAACTAGTCACTCTTGTTGGCCTTGAGGGATAAATTGTGGAAGGAAACCAGAGAACCCGGAGAAAACCCACATTGTCAGGCAGGTGACCCCATAACTTTTCACGTCTGGTCGGGGAATAAACCCTGGCCACCTCGGTGAAAGGGAAGTGCACTATCCACTGTGCCACCCGACCACTCTAAATCAATTCTTAAATAAATAGAAAGACTTGAAACCATAAACCTAATTAAAATTACACGTTCTCATACCATGTGAGAGATCTCCATGCCATACATGCCCTGTTGGGGGCCATACATGGACTGCTGGGGGTGCATCATGTAGCCCTGGGGTCCAGGAGGGTACATCTGGGGGACAGACATCCCACCCTGGGGACCCATCCCTTGCTGCATCATCATCTGTTGTTGCTGCTGCTGCTGCTGCTGCATCAACTGCTGCTGGTGGCTCATGCCACCCTGTGGCATCATCTGTGGCACCTGTAGTGACATTGGGCCACTGCCTGGAGTTCTGCAACACATAAAATATATTGTTACACCTCAAGTGAATTTCTAGCTATTTGATTGGTTGGGAGAAAATTAAACAAAAATCTCTGTCACCCTCCGAAAATGCATTGGTTTTAAGGGGCGCGGGTGATATTGCCATGAGACAGTGAAAAATATCACATGCGCAAAAAATGTGCGTGCACCGCTTCGTTTCCCCACCGTGATGGTCACAAGAATGTTTGACGTCAACAGCCAATTTCATCAAGCGCCGGTGCGATAGCGATTGTAAACAGCAGACTATCAACAAACAAGATGTCATTATCGAAGTTTGCTGCCGTTTCTGAGCTACAAAGACTTTTTTTTGGTGTAACAAAATAGATATGACATTCATTAGCAGGTGACAGTGAATATTGTCAACCCTCAAAAACCCATTGTCCCCCTCGGCTTCGCCTCGGGTGACAATGGTCTTCTCGGGTTGACAATATTCACTGTCATCTGCTAATGAATGTCATATTTATATACTGTTAACTTTATGCTTATCCTAAAACTAAATAGCACTCACCTTATTTGTGAATTTTAAATATAGTTTTTTGAGACTGTAGAAAAATATCAAAATTATTTACATAAATACTTGCACTATCTTATTTTATGTGTCCATTTATTCCAGAACAAAAATCCCACAAATCTTCAAATACATATGAACATGTATGTAAAACAAAACAATTCGCTAGACAGAGGACTGATTAAAAATTTCATCTTACTGGATTCAATTATGTTTTCCTTAAATTTCTTCATTTAATAACAGAAGAATAAGAGCACTGCACACACATATGTATAACAAAATGCCTGATGATACACATAGCCAAATGATTGTATAACAAATCTTGGAATCAAAGTTCTGAAATGGAATGCTCATCAACACCACTTGACAATAAAGCCAACCAAGTTTCAAGCAGATTAGTTGGAAAAGATGAAGAAAATTTCCAAACAAGTCTGAAATGCTAAAGAAAAAGCGGAAGTCAATAACTCTTTCAAAAATCATTTAACTAAAAGTTTGAATTGGAAGACAAGTTGTGTTTTTATTTCAATGTCATGAGTTCACAAGCTGCTGGAGAAAAAAATAGTGGTCAGAGTCATGACATAGACAGATAAAATGAATCTACTGCCTTCACTTAATGCAGATATTTATAACACCAAGGCAAATATTTATCGTCAACCCTCATTATAACTGAAATGCAATCACAGCTTGGTTATTGTTTCTAATTATCCGTACATCAAACAGTGATCTAAACACTGTTTTGAACTACCCAGTTTATTTATTTTCAAAGTACAAGTTCTTTCTGGTAACAAAATTGGACACAGAAATTAGCAAAACTGTATATTAGAGGCACACACATAAAATGAACCCCAACGTCAACCACACGGATCAAAATATTGATTTGAAAATAAATAACAAAGTTATCAATGACATTGTAAACCGATAAGTGCATAAGCTTCTTTGAAATCTGTGCAGCTTGTATTATAGACAAAAGCTGACAAACATACAGATCGCACTGCAACACAATCTCAAGTAGTGACACACATAGTCTTGAATTTCAAATCACAATTGACATGTCAGTCACAACAGGAAAACACACGTGTAGTGATGGAGAAGTATTAAGAACATGTGTGATTCTTACTGATCCATCGCAGTCCGTGTTGTTGTACACTCACTCTGGCCTACAGAGGCCATACTCGGCCGCCTCATAGCCATAGCGCCCTGATTAGCATACATTCCAAAACCACTGTAAACAGGCAAGGCACCAACACAGCATTTAAACTGGGAAATAGGAACCTCAACTCCACCACACTTGAACTCATTCACCCCTGAAATTTCATAATGAACTATTCCAACATTTAAATTGGAAGAGTTCAAATGTGTCTTCAGGGGTGGATGAGTTCAGATGTCATCTTCTTTTGGAGAAAATCATGGTCTTGTTCATAACACCATTGGCAGTCCTTTATCAAAGTGAATTTATTTGTTATCATTGACACAAGAATTCTGAAATACAATTGTATCGTACATGGTTGATCATGACATCACAATCAAGCAGTACAGGTCAAGCTTTATACACATCTGGATGGGTAGTCATGCTGTGTAGAGGGAGTAATGGATTTATATAACGAATGGAGTTTTCAGTTACTTAAAAATATAATTTAAGTTGTATGCATTTAAAGAAAGACAATTCTTCTCTTTACTTGTATAGAAGGCTGAATAACATGCTTGTATACTAGACGATAATAAAATAACTGTACAACACCTTGCATGGGAAACTGATACACAGTAAAGATATACAATACAATGTACGTTACCAAACAGCTCCTTACCTAGGGGATCTGCCAGAGGGAGGTTTCCGTAATCCGGAAGAGTCCATCATCATATCGCTACCCTCACCACTTTGCATCGAGGCCATGGACCCTGGCATGAAGCCACTTCCTGCGGGCATCATGCCACTCATACCCTGCATCATACCATCAGACATCATACCCCCAGGACCAAGCATTGCCGCACTGGGCATGCCACCATACCCTTCGTTCTACAAAAAATAAACTTCAATTTAAAACACAGTTATAAAATGAATCAATTTCATGATCATAAATAAGGTTTCAATAGATATAACTACTTAAAGTTCAGGCATTTTTTGAGATGAAACTAAAGATTTTTCTTGGCAAAAACTATAACTAAGTGACATCTCCTAGCTAGGCAACTATCATAATCTAGGACCTTTTCAAGCCTGTATAAAACTTGTGGCCAAAATCCATATCAAAGTAATACATTTTCAGAGAATCCCTTCAGTCCTACCTGGCCTAGGAAGGAGAAGGAGAAGGCCAGGATTCCCCCTGCTGTTTTACTGACGTTCTCATGCTGCATCTTGGTGTCTGGCAGTTTATAAATGAACTCCTCATCAGGGGCGGGACTCGGCCCTCCGTTCAGTGCCAATCTTATTTCATATGAGCTTTGTGCTAAAAAGGGATTCCATGCTGCCCAACGTATAGAGACGGTCCGTGTGTTTCCCCGTGCTACGCAGCTGGACACCTGTCAATTAAAAAAAGTCATTTCGTTGATATTTTCAAGATTAAATCTACACTTTTTAAAAATATTCAAACCACAAATATTTTGGTGAAAGGCAAGTGCATCATCCACGGTGGCCCTTGAGCAGCCTTTAAGACTTGATTGTGAAGCCAGGAGACAAACCATATCATACTTATCATACTGAGAGTAATCCTGTACAATTAGATGATATCAAATACAATATGTAACTGATCTATGAACACTACTCCCATAACATGAGAGGCCGCTGGTCGGCGTTTTTTCTATCGGATATGATTTTGCCGACTGCGACTGTCAAAAGTTTTTCGCCGTGTAAAACCTCTAACATTGTTGGAGTACTATGAACACCTGCATATGTAAGGTACAGGTATTTTAAATCCGCAAATTAAATGAAGCAAGATCCAGATTTAAAAGTATTTGGGTAGGTCATCAGGAAGTAGGTGGTAGTTTGTATTTGAACATTTAATAAAGAACAGGAAAGAGTGTTAATTGTAGGTGGCATGGGCCACAAAACAATTGTCTCCATCTATTTATATATGGAGTAGTCCTGACCTAGAACAGATAGAGCAAGTTTAAAACTCAAAGTTAGAAACATGAGATTGTCAACCCTTTCACCATTGTAGACCTTCATTGACTCATCCAGATAAATGTATGGTAGAGTCTATTAAAGTTTCCTAGGGTTGAAAGGCTTAGACTTTACATACACTACCATGACACTATATCATACTTAATACTAGTGTTGGGCTGATGATCGATTATATTGAAAAAATCAATCGGTTTGTCCTTTCCGATTCCGATGATCGATTACAAAATCAATTATCGATAAAATTGATTCATCATTGAAATCGATGTGTTAAATGTGGTCAGTGTAAAATATCTATTGGAAGTAATATGTTATTAAGGATTTTACTATACATGTATGAGTGATAAAACTGCATAAAAGGGCCTGTTTCCAGTAATGTTAATTCTCCATAGGAGCCTGCCCCCGTATAATTTCTTATCTAGCGCAACTACTGTTTTTTTTCTTTTCCGAAGAATAATTTTACACCTTTCCGACACCCAGATTTCATAATTTCAGTGAAAATGTATTTTTATAAAGTTGTCAATTTCAGCATCAAAGACATAAGTTCGTAAATAAAAGAAGGTTATCTCGAAATTGTAATTCGCAACATAGTATAAATTTCTTTTGATAAATATTTCCAAAACATCGTGTTTATTCATAAAACATAAAAAAAAAAATTCTCGGATGAAAATGCACTTGCAGAGACACAATTATGAAGAAAAATGCCATAAAATTGCAATTTTCTCCCGTTATATAGTTTTGGATGCAAATTTCCATCAGAAAATCGGATAGAGCTTTACTTGTTTCATATGTGTACCAAAAATCAGCTAATTCCATGTGGTGGAACGTTCTCATATCGCCGCCTGAATGTGGTTGTAAATTGAAAGAAAAGGGGAAATGAGTAACAACCTTGTCTGAAACCCTATTATATAGCTTATTATATACAAACTTTTATATTGAATATCAGAGCGGATATTTTCATGACAGTTTTATGATGTGTAACGACTAAATAAACAGTATCGATATAAAGATTTACACTGAGGACACCCTGATACATGAATACTGTTCTATCTCAAGTTGTCCTCTTCTGAATTTTCTGATCGTGTGGCCTTGTACATTTATCCGTATCTTCTTGTCTTTGTCTATACGTTTACGGAATCATTGACTCGACGCTAGCTATTCTTGTCTCACTTTCCTTGTTTTATTGTCCCATCTCCAAAGCGTTGTGGCTCTGTCAGGGTTGGGACCCTGACTTGTCTCACTTTCTTTGTGCCTGCCGACCACGCCACATCGAATAGATAGATTATCCATATGAAATACTTTATTTTGTTCTAAGTAATCAATCAATTCTGCGCTTCTTGGAGGTATTGAATGTGATTTATTATATTGTCTTGTTATTTTGTGTAATTAGTTGTTCGTTATTTATCACACATTTTCGCATAATTGTACCAAACTACTAAGTATTAGCTGTTTACAGCAATCATCGGTGGCTTGCTATTTTGTTACTTTATCGACGCTTCATAAACCAATCGTTATTGTTTCAAGATGGAGGGTAAATGTGTTGGAGAAGGGTGTCAAGTATACTTCAAGAAACGTAGTGGCAATAAGAACAGAAGTGCACGCAATGTAAATAGTCCACAATATAAATGGCTCCTAGATACGCTGGTGCAACAAGGATTGATGTCAGCAAAGGAACAAGCACTTATTTGCCAGAAGTGCTACATGAAGTATCTTCGGAACAAAAATCAGCCTGAACCTGAACCCGAGCAGAACCAGGAAATAGAGGAAGAAGACGACTCCCCGTCCCATATCCTGCCGTTGCTGACCCTTCATGATCTTTTGAATGGATCATCTTCACACAAAAAATGCTGTCTCTGTCTTGTTACCTTTGCAAGAAATGGAACAAAATCATCAGTCTTACCAAAACGTGCAAGACATCACCTGATCTATTCACACAAACTGTGGTGTCCCACCTCATCCCGCGTCTGCTCCATTCACCTTATTGGTAACGACTTAGATCCGTCTACAGAGGTTGTCCTTGATGGTAGAGGTTCCTTGGAATCTCAGTTACCATCAAAATCGTCCGAAATCATTAATGACCTCCTAGAGGTGTCGCACGTCCTTTCACAGAACCAGTCTGCGTTTACAATAAGCTTTTCTTCTCTTGATGACTCGGCATGCATGGCCTGGACAGGTTGGTCCAAAGATCAGTTCCTCGAAATCCACTCGCACTGTTCCCCATATCTTTCATCTGGTATATATACCAAGACTACACACGATGCTCTATTACTGTTCTGGGTAAAACTGAAAACCGACATTTCCTGGAGTCAGTGTTCTTCTCTTTTTGGAATTTCCAAGTCAAGTGTGTCCAAAACTTTCCACTCCATAGTACAGGCATTAGACACATCGATAGTCCCACAATTTCTAGGTCCGGATCACTTGACAAGAGAACAGTTGCTCGGGCACAATACTGTCTTTTCAGAAGCATTTTTTGGAGATAAAGCCACTGCCATATTAGATGGCACCTATATTTATATCCAGAAAAGCTCCGACCACAAGCTCCAGAGAATGTCCTACTGTGGCCAGAAGAAGAGAAACTATCTCAAATTCATGAGCATCGCCTTACCAGATGGCTACATTCTGGACACAGTAGGACCATTCACTGGCAGCGAAAATGATGCTACAATTACAAAAAAAGTCATGGACAAGCTAGTTACTTGGCTACAACCAGACGACAACGTTGTCGTTGACCGAGGTTTTAGAGATGTCCTACCAGTTCTCGAAGCCTCTGGCCTCAATGCTAGCATGCCGTCATACCTGAAACCCGGTCAAAGTCAACATTCTGACGTCCAAGCAAATCTTGACAGAACTATCACCAAATCGAGGTGGATTGTGGAATCCTATCATGGTCGTCTGAAACACTGGACGTTCTTCCGAACGCAATTGGTGTCTAACAGCTTTATCAATGTCATCGAGGCTTTGCTTCGAACCGTCACAGCCTGTCTGAATGGTATTAGAGGACCGATCTACCAGAGATCTCCAGAGAGAGATGCCAAAGATAGGCTAATGGCTGAACGTATGAAGGACCGTTTGACAACACCGAATGGTTTAGCTCAGAGAGTCAAGACAGATCCGGATCTATCTAGACGGGCAAGGTCCGAGTTTGTCAAGATGGATGCATCTTCCGTACTGTTTCCCCGTCTCGATCTTGATTACTTGAGAACCATTACGTGTGGAACGTATCAGATATCTCTGGCTCCTGGTTACATCGCCGAACATTTAAGTGATGACGGAGACTATGAGGTGTGGCTTTACCAGCACTCCCCAGACCTTCTCCGATGTCAAATACATTCTCGACACAAAAGCCAAACGAAATATAACGTTTGGATACGGTTCACCGTTTCACCCGATGTTGAGGCCCCAATAAAGGACTACTACTGCCAGTGCCCAGTTGGAGAGAGAACGATGGGAATGTGTGCGCACATCTCCAGTATCTTGTACTACCTTGGGTATTACAGGACGCTGGAAAACCCTCGACCATTACAACCACAGGTAAAGAAATTCCGACAAAACTTGAAATAGTTTTCCATGCGGCAACGGAGTGCATATGTCGAAAGTATGTTTGGGGCTCGATATGAAAGATCCCCGTTACCATGTGACTAACCAAACTTATAAATATAGGTATTATACAATCGCCCGTAGCTATGAACACTCCCGTAAATGCGAAAACCAACCAAAATCATAAGGAACACGTTTTGTTTGTTGTTCTGTCTATTTGTCAGCCAATGTCTTCAACCACGGGGACTTGTGAAGTAGCCATCTTGGATTTTTTTTATGAAAAAGTGTTTCTCTCACTTTTTTTCATATCTGTGTACATATTCTCAACATACCGAGCAAATACTCTCGTTTTTTTGTTAATTATCTAAAGAAAGTCGAAAATCGGCAATTCAACCATAGGCTAATTCAACCCAACATTTGAAAATGTTCCACCACTTACATTTTGATGATTTTTCCTCTCATCAATAGCATATTACGTACTGTTTAATAGGATAAAAATTGGTTTGCATCCAACGCCCATAAAAGGGTGTATTCTCTAAAAAACACAGTTTTTGTGTCTAAAATGTTATCATCGAAAATGGCATTTTTGAGATTGTTTCTTCCATAAAACAGCCAAATGGCGCGATGGAAACATGATTTTTTGTCACAATCATGCCATGAATGTATTCTTTACGGTGACCATCATTTGATTAGATTTTCATTAATATTTTACATAACATGCACATTTTATCAACACTTAGACAGCTTCTGAAAGATACAACTTTGAGGAGCCATAAAAAACAAACCAAGTGACCTAAATCTTTATACTTTATAGATTTGTGACCACAACGGCATGGGCAATGCACCACCAACAGGAAATTTGAATCAGAGAAGGGGCCGTTTTGGAAACCGGCCCTTTGCTTGAAATTCATTCTTTATTAAAGAACAACACCTAATGTATAGTTAACACCACTGTATATTGTCGTAACAGCAGTGTTTTCATTTTATTTAGGTATTGTCCCATAAAATTATAAACCGATGGTAGAATTGATCATCAATCGGTTTACTACTTCCGATTACAAACCGATTATCGATTATGATTATGATTTTAAACCGATTGCCTATCACTATTACTACTTAATACTACCATGATCTCTGTAAAAGTGGGGCCTGGTGTCCTGTCGAGACCTTACCTTCCGGTCCTCCTCAGAGAGAGGTTCCCCAATGACATACTCCAGGGTAAAAGTGATGGCCACCATGGGATCCTCTAGGAGCTCTCCTAGCTCTATCTTATTCTGCAGCGTCAGGAATGTTGTACTGTAACAGACACAAATCAAGTTATCTCCCTTGTGTACATTTAGGGCCTGTTCGTTTATATACTGAACAACTGGTTTGTCTGTTTTTTTAATGTAACTTTTCCGGGTATAAATTCTTTCGGACCTACAAATGTTTATGCAGGCCTTGCAAGGCTTTGTCAAGGCTCGCCTAAAAGCAGCATCAGATTACTTGGTCCAACCCTATTACATAAACGAATAACTCTGGTCCAACTGTATGGATCACGATAAACAAAAGTGGCTCTTATATTCCCTCCAGCATGGAAACAATGAAGGTTATCTCCCTTGTGTTGTAGTATACTTCTAAGGCTGCTTTCATGCTTTCATGCTTTCATGTAGTTATTGCGATCCAAACGGTTGAATCATTTGGAACAGAGTTGTTCGTTTATGAAATAAGCATAAACATTTACAGGTCCGCCAGGATTTATACCCGAAATGTTATAACACAACAACTTTGATCATACTTGTCTCTGCGACCCCAGTGTCATATGTACTGGGTGAATGCAACATTGATAAATTAACAGGAAAGAAAAGCATTCTTTATACTGTAAATAAAATTGTGTCCCACACAAAATAATCAGCTCCAGAATGCAAAGTAGATCTTGTAAATTTACCTGTCCTCTGTCTTCTGACTGGACTGCTGAAACTTCTTGCTGCGACGGACACTAGGACTGGCGGTAGGTTTTAGGGATTTAGACTTGTCTTGGTGAAGGTCCAGGTGGAATATCTGAGGCTTGTCAAGGAACCCCCAGCCGTTATGTACACCGACCTATAGTGACAAGGTTACATGTTTGATCTCCAAGCTCAATACATGACACAATTGTATAAAACATTTTTTTTTTGATATAAATTTTATTTTTGAACAACAATTATGAAACAAGTTATTACAATTTATATCAATCACTCTTGTTGGCCAGGATGTTAGTGTACAGGGAGTCTTAATGTGGGAGGAAACCGAAGTACCTGGAGAAAACCCAAGTGTTCAGACAGGTGGCCCGATACCTGTTTCACATGCATCTGATCAGGGTATCAAACTCCTGTTATGTTTGCAAAAGGCAAGTGCATTATCCACTGTGCCACCTGACCACCTTAACAGATATTCTTTTTTGAAAGGGACAGTCATATCATGAGGTACATTTTTTTCATCTCTTTAATTTAATAGTTTAATATGATTTTCAGGTATGCTTTTGTCAACAATGAAGTCTTGTCTAAAACCAGAGGCACCAGAATTAAGCTTTGGGTGTAACTTTATGTTCGAGTACTTCCTCTTTATTTTCCAAAATACAAAACATTCCTATAATGTGCTTGAATTATTATGCATAAAAAAAAAATCCTTTTTAAAATCAGTATTTGGGAATGTTAAACATACCAGCAATCTCCTCTCGACGATGGTGACCTGAGTGCCAGATGTGGCACGCCCGTCTCGTTCCACGCGGTCTTTGTGTAAAAGTTCTGAGAGCTCCTCCTCAAATTTGTCTACAGTGGGCAGGAGTTGGATGTTCACGTGTTCCAGCTGACAGGCTATCTTACGCATAGACTTGGGTTTCTTCAGCTGGTCCTTGCCTGTAGTCATAGAAAAGTACCTAGATTATTGTATATCAGGAAATTTTCACTGGAGTTTAATTTTCACCCTTATCGTCTGCCGTGATAAGGGTGAATATATCATTACAGTGAACACTAGTCAACATAGTAATATGCATAGTAATTAAATGGAAAGGCCAAATTAACACTTGGTGAATACAAATTATTCTGGCGAAGGGCAGGAGTTTGACTGGGAACAACTTTTCATGTTATACATGTACAGTAGTACATTCATACATCTGTGGCAATTTAGTACTGCAGCTATATATCGATAAGATGCAAAAAATACAATAATTTTATATTCAGAAGTCATCATATATTCTAGTGTTTCTAAATGAGCATGAAAAGCACCAATTAAACATTGAACTGTATATATCCTGTTCAGAGTTAATTAAGAGTCTGATAATTCTTAACAGGATCACAGATAAAATGAACAGTATGCTTTAGCACGTTTTCAATATTTGTCTGCAGTCTTGTTCAGAATTATATAGTATAACAGAACAAAATACACTCACAACAGTCCAGCAATCAAATCTAATTACTTTCCAGTGGTTTTGAATATTAATCAATATTTCTATTTCAAATATCATTGTTAAAATTTAAGGTAGATTTTCAATAAATGGAACAGCCAACAGCCAGTATCAACCAGTTTTCTTTCCAATGTTATGATTATGACATCACAACTATGGGTAATGACGTCATGATCATCACTCCAGATTTATGGTCTCATAAACCACAAATGACTTCAGTAGGATTATATGATGCAGAGCAAAATGTAAAATTGATATTGTAAACTGAACTTTCTGCTGACTGCAGATAAACTCAAGGTATGTTGCTTTAGACAGCAATTGTTCAAATGAGATCTATAAACAAAACTTTTAAATTTTCATTCAAAAGTCCACAGCTCTCCTGAGCACAATTGAACACTTCAGCCAAGTATTTTTGTGAACAATTTGGAAATTGTAACACCCTCTCTGATCATTGTTAAATTTTCAGTGACTTAATCTTAAAGTCTATGATATCAAGTTCATTGTTTTAATGTGATGTCATGATAGAAAGGACTGATGAACTGTTAAAAACTATAAAAAATACAGGTGATGTGTTACCTGGAGTCTGGCTTTCCTGTAGGCCTGGGATCATGTCGTTGCTGGCCACGATGACATTTTCTGGTATAAGGTTCATTACGTCTAGCAGGGCTTTGTGGGTACCAAGGGTATAGGACAGCACACAGTCTGGGATCGGCTTCAGGTTACTGTCACCTGGAGCACAAACAAAAACATCTTGCTGATAATTAACTCCACATATGTATATAACAGTAACTGATTAAATTTGCTGTCCAGGGAGTTAGCCCTCTATCAGCCATGTGTTAGTCAAAACTACATCCCTTGGCAACTTCTGTGAATCTTCCCTGAGGAAACAACTGAACCAATCATGTGACAGGTGGGAGGAGCTAGCATTCCATCTTAATCCTTCAGCTTGTTTAACATGCAATTCGGATATTGATACAGATGATAGTGAAATATTAGATATGGCTGGAAATTATAACAATTTAATGTCTCTGCATTTCATATTGTAAGTACAAATGAAGTATGGAATTTCAAACTGTAGTAAGTTTTCAGTGGTCCCCTTGACCATCCATATATCCTGCGGCCTCGACTTTGGAAGTATAGACCTGATCTCAGGAATTACCGGTATGTAGAAACTTGTTATATCCCTCAAGTCCGTAATGCCAACATTTCACTAGAAGATTTGATGCAATAATTTGAGATTCACTGTATAGATACCCTGTACATTGTCAATAATAGTACATGGTAAGAAGTAAAGTATTATTACAATGAATAATAGGGTATACACAAATTGTCGACACGGAGGAGAAACTCGTTCACATCTAGAGTAGTAGATGTGTGGGACAATCCACCTCTACATGTTGTTAACGCTCAAACAGTTAGCTATATAGGGAGTTTGAAATTTTAATTGATATACCTTTTAAAGAAACAATCTATGATACGTAAAACACAATAAGACTATGTTTTACATATTTATAAAGCTGTTTTGGACACTCTTGCAAATAATTTGTTAAATATTTATTGATATGGGCCTAGAGGCTTTAAGCCTTTTCCATTATTATTCAATAAAATTCAATTAAAAAATGGCCTAGAGGCTTTAAGCCTTTGTCCATTATTATTCAATTAAATTCAATTGAAAAACATCCACTTACTCTCAATCGGTTCCTCCATGAAGAAAAGTGCTCTTGGTGTTCCATAAAACATCTGAATTCTATAATTAAAAATAATGACCAACTGATGTATACTTAATTCAAATGAAACATGAAGTATACAATTATTTTAATTCATGATAAAAGCAACATTTAATGATGTTTAATCTACTGATAGATTTCTGGTAAAGGATTTCATATCCTCTACACCAGATTCAAAATTAAACATAATAATTGTGTTAAAAATTAAAACAAAAACTTTTTGATTGTTACCAAACTACAGTTCATAAAAAAGCGTTGGGGTTATATAATAAATCAGTGTATTCCCAGTGTGCATCCAGTTCATTTTTGAAACAGTTTGAATTAACAGCACAAACTACAAGTTGATACAATGTATCGCAAAAGCATTCAACAATAATCGTTTACATCAAGTTAATTAGGAAAACCATCACTGCTCAATAATTAGTTATTGTTGAAAGACAGAAATTCGCTTCTAGACCACTTTGACTTAGATTTTTTTTTTAAATTGAGATTAAAAACTACAATTGATTAAAATAGGGTAGAAATGCATATTTAATTTGTTAAAGTACATGTTCAGAAATTTCTTAAAAACACATTTTTAAATTTTGTGTTTATGATTAACAAAACTAATCAGGTTTTGAGCCTTGTGACTTAAGCTTGTGTTAATGACTAACAAAGCTAACCGGGCTTTGAGCCTTGTGACTTAAGCTTGTGTTAATTCAAACAACATATCAATACATTTTCTCACAACCAAAGAAATGTTTGAATTGTCAATCAGAGGTATTGATTTGTTTTTCTGTACCTTTCTCAGACTAATTGATCTAAATATGAATACGCAATATAATTGTAACTCATACATCCCTGAAGACACAATTGAACTCTCCCAATTCAAAGGTTGGAATAGTTCATTATAAAAAGCCACGTTTAATGAGTTAAAGCCCAGAGCTTTGACACACAGAGTGAAATAAACTCTCCATTGCTATATACATAGTATTAATGTTAGAACTTTATGATGATTGAGGCGAGAAGAAATTTGTGGGGTCATAAATAAAATCATACTTCTGGACGGGGAGGTTTGAGGCTCGGCCGAAGTCTGGGAGATCCTCGTTAGACTTAAAGATACGGATGAGGCCCCAGGCGCATGTTGACTTCTTCTGCTTGCCATCCTCTTCTCTGACTGTAGCAACAGCCTCGACAACGCCGGCAAGACTTGCATTGCCTAACGACGTATGGAAATACACATTCTGCAAACCAAAATAATCAAAGATTTAATGAATACTTTTATGTGATCATTACAGAATTTACTACATGGCTATTTCATGAAAGGTGACAATTTATACCACTACTGAAAATACTAACATGGAATTCAAGAAAGTCAATGCCATGTATATTTCTACCAGTTAGAAAAAGGCAGACAGTTGATGGCTGGAGTAATTGTGAGGCTATACAGGTAATTTTTATGGCCACATATCAAGGCCTATTCCAGTCCCCTCTCCAATTTTGGCATTATTTCCCCCTATTTCAGTTAAAAATTCCCCCTCATGTATCTAAAATAATACCACATGAATATATATATATCTGTCATGGTTCTATTATGTTTTTATTTTCCGTCAGCTCGACAACCGAGTGATTTATTTCTATTCCTGCATTTATCCCTGCATTATATTAATCACAGACTTCTATGTGTCCGGGAAAATCAAGGATCGTCAGTGTGACAGAAAAAGAATAAAATAAGGTTTTACTCAACATGTGCACTAAAAATACAACTAATCTTCTTTATAAGCTGTTATATATGACTCTGGAAACGTCTTACCAAAGAGAGGCAAGCTACCAACTCTGAAATGCTAAGGATGTGTCAATTCCATAGAGAAAACTGTTACCAATAGCCTATACATCTCCAGGGAATATGTCCTAATCTTAATGGTTGAAAAGTCCTGGTTGTATCAACCCAAAAATTGGTTATGAATTGTATTTTGTAACACACACGGAACAGTAACAAACCTGGTTGTATTTCAGTTTCGGCTTCTTCTGGTTCGCATTCATCGAGGTGTACGGCCCAATCCATTGTCGACCAAAGAAGTGGCGAAAATTCAGATCGTAGAGGCTTATACTAAGCTGGTATTCCACTGTTTTACTCTCATTCTGAAATTACACGAGAAAAAATGGCAAATTTATAAGATGTAAGAGGATCACACCTGCATTCAGAGACCAGCTTCAGGAAGTCCGTAAAGGTGTACCAGCAGGTGGTCGTACTGGTCTAGCTCTCTTAATGCAACTGTTCAATTAACAAACAGTTAAAACTTCAATGAGGAGTTTTAAAAGTAGATGATTGCCTAAAATAAAGGTTCCATTTATAAATATAAATCAATTCAACATAGCTGCTTTGCTTACAGTGTGTCGAAATGAAGTAATTACCAAAATGCTATGTGAAAGAGTTGCTTTAGTACTGTTTTGTTCCTAACACTAAATATTAGTTTTAAAGCATTTACATTAAGAAATGCATGCCAATGACTCTTAGAAATACAGAAAAGTTGGAGGGAACTTTTCTTATCTTGTTACATTATACTTCAAATTACAATTACCGGTAACTAGCTGCTTTAAGATAGGAGGTAGTTCGACTCGGAATACATGTACATAATTGTATAACCATTGTAACTGTCAAAATTTACTAAAAAATTGTTTTTGAAATGTGATGCATATTTATATATGTGACCTATAAACTGAAATTATTTAGCATATTACACATATAGATACTAATAATGATTGATTTTGTTAGATATACATTTCTGATTTAAATACTGCAATTAACATTCAACAGATGAAAGACATAATATCTTCAGAAATGTCTGAAGGGAAAACAAGACAATCTACATAATGTAACAAGCTAGTGATGTTTCGATGAGTATACCTGTGGCCCTGTGTTTCTTGGAGGGAACAACCCCTCCACCCCTTGTAAGTGTACACACACTGGCGTGTACTCCTTCTCCTCGGTCGCCACACTCCAGCGTTGATGTCGTATATACGGCAACACAGCATGTTGGCGCAGTGTTGGTACAATACGATTCAATATTCTCTGCGGACTTTCTTTTGGAGGCGTTTTGGTGACCTCCTTGTCTACGTCACTTTCCATACTTCAGACAATAAGGTTTTGTCTTACAGATATCATTTTCTCCTTTCAATTCTTCCCTATTTTATTTGTTACACAAAATTAAGTGTTTTCGTCTTTTGGTTTTCCATGCAGTTTCTGAATATTTTATATCCTTCAGGAATTCATTCCAAACTTCACCACAAGATAAATTGCTATAGTCGACACATCACTTGATTAGAACAAACATGTAATAATCAGTTTTCTGCTGACAGCTAGACTAGACCCGTCAGTTCCTCGTTGTAACTGACGTGTAATATTTTACACATATCATCATTGTGTATGACAGGACATTGACTCCGCGAGTAACAGATCCGGATTCCTCCAGCAAACTTGCCATCTAAATTAAATATTTATATGAAAACAATTATCTCACACAAGTTCCAACACTATTGGCTAATCAAGCATATCTGAATGAAATATTAATATAAAAAAACAAGTTACCATGACAACTCAACTATAAACAAATGAAATCGTTAATAACTTCCGTTAAAGGTACATCCCAGCAGACTGACTGATTATATAAATGCTAAGTTGAAATTTCATTGCAGAGACAATATGTTATATTATCACTGATCATTGCTTAGCTGATCTTGGTCCAAAATATCACCATTAGCGAAATATTCCAGGAAAAACATGCTCCTACAATAATGATCCTGCATGACTGTAAATAAACAACTTTAGATTGCTATGGAAACACATTATTCACACAGCTGTAACCTCATCCGTCGCAATACCAGTAAACGCCGCGAATGACAACTGTTCTGTATACCCACCAGCTTATAACCTGACAGTTATGTTGACTAAACATATATAATATATTAGTCCCTTATCTAGAGTATTGAAGTTATATACATTTATGGAGATAAAATTAAACTGATCATTTCAATGAAATATTTCGTGAACATTTTATCAGATTTCTTTCTGAACCCAGTAATCCTCGCATACACGTACGTTACTGAAGTCAGACAGTCATTCCAACAGGTAACACAATATCCTCACTATGTACGACAATGCCTGGGATTATCCCCGGAGAGCTTTCATCATCCGCTGCTGTTCAGCTGCAGCCTCAATCTCCTATACTAAGTAGCTCTTCAGGGCATGTTCAGCATTAGCTGCTGCCTTCATGAGATAAGATTATAATTAGAGTCAATGACTCCAGCTCGGGGAAAAAGCCTTATACACATACATATATACCTATAGTACAGGTATAATCATGAAACTTCATGTATCTCATTCAGGTATAGTTGAATATTCTATACAACAAAATTGTAAGCTCTCATTCCTACTTAGACAGATCCAAAAAAATCACTAACTGGTACGTACATGTATATATATATACATATCAGTCAATACCTGTATACGTATACATTAACCACCAAATTGTTAACGGTGTTTCAAATCCATCTAGTTTCTCAGCAATTTAAATGTTAAATTTCAGCATAAAATATTCTTGAAGCATAAGTTTAATTGACATAATCCTTTAAATGATATATATCCGTTTTCTGTGCGTGTGATAAAAATGTAACGTAATCAATTTGAAAACTTGGCAGCAGTAAAGCTATAAAACCACAGCAATCGATAGCAGGGTTTCTGTTATCAATATATATGTTACAAATCAGCTTCTTAAAAGTTGTTTCCACTGATATAAATGTTCAATACAACTTGTACCTATGGCTAGTACAAAACGTAGGGGGTAGAAACGTGTATTATACTTACTGCAGGTAATGCATGCACACGCTAGAACAAGTACATTTTGTATTTTCAATTTTAGAATTAGGGAAATCTGAGTGGCAGAATAATAAATAATCTTATCTTACTTCAGTGCACGAATCTATTTGACAATTGGTGCCAACTATCCCATTCTGTGCAATAAATACATGTTTTTAAATGGATTTGGTTAAAAAAACAATAGTATGGGAATTCTAGTGACAAAATTCAAAGTCTGAGTCAGAAGAATGAAAGTGAAAACTCATGAGTTTCCCGCCAAAATAGGGAGACTCATACATGCATGTTCAGCATAGACAAGCATGTGTCCTGGGCGTATATATAAATCATACATTAAAAATATTTGTTTTTGAATTGTTTGGAAACGTCAGATCAATAACATTGGAATCAATATTTCTGTGGTCCTGATTCGTCAGCCAGAATTAAACTTGACAGGTACAGCACACATCAGGTCATGAAAAAACATTAATAGTTAATGAGATCATTAGAAGCAATAAATAGGTAAGCACTGTATAGTGTACATAGACTGCTGATGTATGTTATATAAGGTCCAATATATCTTAAAGGTTAGTTAAAAATAGCTAAAAATAGGTGTGTAGTACACAGGTTAATATCGTAATGAAGGCCTACGTACATACAAGCACACGTGTTCATACATGTACACCAGATGATAATGACCATCATTGAAGCTATCAATAGGCATATATTTGTCATAATGACCGATTCCAATACATCGACCGAGACTTTAGTCCAGATTAACATTAGATTCTTTGAACATAAAAAGGTTATAATTATTTTGTCGTATAAACATGTACACTGTATACCATTTTTGTTGATCTTTCCGAACCTTCACCGTATTTAATTACACTTGGCCCATGACACTAAACACTGAGATACAGGGACGTATTAGAGAGTATATGTAATATAACTCTATTATAAACAGTAGTACAAAGCATATACGTAACCTTAAAAGTGTTTGATCTGTTCTGATCTGATGACTATACAAACATACCAAATATAAAAGACGTCCTGTCACGGAAATCTAACATTTCCTTATAATGTTTTACTATATTTTTCGGTACAAACTTAAAAGCCCTGATAAAACCTGTGGACATGTACCTACATGTTTATATAAATAGCTATGCAAACAATACCTATTGAAAAGTCTTTCCAAATTGGGAACAAATTAAATTGTGATCATTATATATACTTATCAAAGTTACATAATTTTCAACAGATAAAATTGAAGAAATTGTTTAATGGTCTTAATAAATCACAGGCATTATATAGGTGTGTTCACTTTTGGTTTGTATTGTTGAGGAGTTGATTATCAGAAGATCTAGAATATATCAATCAAGATACGTACTTGTCCATGAGTTTTGCATGCATTAAATGTTTATTTTCACAGATTTATACAGCTGTGAATATATATATAAACTGTATACCAGAACACTTTCACCAATCAATGTTTCGCCCTAGAATATTCCAATAAAGTCTGTTTTTGCCCAACGCTAATTTTGCCCTTCAAATTTGATTACTATTTTTATTTTATCGCTCAATATTGTTTGCTGTAATAATTAAATTCATCCTCATTGTGCAGGGCGAAAAAGGAGAAAATTAAAATGTTGCAAAAATTTCCCAATATACAGTGTCATACATATATATAATGTCGACTGTAGTTGTCCACCTAACTCCTACCTTAGCAACTATTAAAATCAATGACACCCACTAAAAGCAATTCAATTCACACAATTAATTGCTCACAGCAATGGTTTCAATATTTGCTCAAACACATTCAATCTAGAGCTGCATGGTTCAAGGTCGATAAAATCATTTCCAGCTAATTGTGTTTTCAATCTGATGATAAAAATGTTTTTATTTATGTGAATGAAAATATCAATATTTCCTATTAATAATTTCAATACATCGATCAATATCTATATTGTCTCTTTAGTATAAAATCTCCCTATAATAACAGTGTTTTAAGCTTGCAATTGTTGTCTTAGCGTATATATATACTGCTGCCATACTTGCCAACCGTTTGAAATTTCCATGGACAAAATTTGACATGCTCAAAATAAAAAAATAAAAAATAAAAAAAAGTGTCTAATTCTATCGCCTAAGGTCACACATCATTAGATTTTAGAATATATAGGAATAGTTCAGCAAATTCACCGATAGGAAATATAAAATTTAAGGGTCCGAAATCGGGAGTCTCCCTCCTAAAATAGGGAGAGTAATGGCAAGTATGAGCTCGTGTGTTAACTTTGATCATTATCAATATCAATTATATCTTCATTCTTGTCCACAATACCCCTACAATGGCAAAAGAGGCATGTTTTTGACAATAGCAATTTTCTCCAAAAAAAATGTTTAACTGCACACATGGCTGAATATAAAGATTACTTAGTAAAAAACGTTACAGAAACTAGTTAAGCCTATGAGAGACCACAGATTTCTTGAGTTCAAAAAACTCAGTAAGTATTAGGAAGGTATTAAACATTATCTTATAGAGTGCTTAAACTGTAGGCTTGTAGAGGTACAACGCATTCATCTTGATATAATCTTATATAGATATTGCATATTAAATAAGCAATTTAAATTATAATATTAAAGATTAATTTATTATAGATTCTGATCATAAACATTCTTATTATATAAAGTGTCCCATGATCAATGATTGTCGTTCATTATTGATTTTCAGAACTCATTACTGCCTATTGCAAATAACTGAACACTGATAAAAATTAAATCACATCCTCAAATCAATATATTGATGCCAGGTATATGTATACGTATTATATAAAGGCCAAAAAACCTGAATGTGTGTTTCAAGTATCTTGACCTACCCTAGACTTTGCTGCCGACCTTAGCTAAATAGTTTATCACCTACTTGAATCTAAGATTAATTCATTAGCTATGCAGGAAAAGTTCACAACCAGACTGTACTTTCTTCCTGGTCTGAGAGTCTGACCTATGATTCTTGCCAAATTAATAGCCATTGTTATAATGTGTGGAAGTGCATTGTAACATTTGAAATATAATTAAAGCATAATATTAATTCATGAAAATAAAAAAAATACCGAAATGAAATTATTATAAACAATTAAATCTAAACAAACATAATTTTGTTTTTTGGCCTAATTAATTCAACATTTGTCATAGATAATTTGAGGTACATGTATCAATAACTGCTAGCATACCTTGAAAAATCATTAATGCAAATTACATGTTTATTCTAAAAGCTGAATAATCATACTTAATTCTCAAATATGATGCTCAAAACTTAAAGATAACTTTATGTAAATTAAGTTTCTGTTATAGCTTTAAATACATCACTTTTACTTATTGCAGTTCACATCCTCTTGAACTCCCTCAAATCAGCGAAGAACAGAAAATCCAAATAAAATCCATAAAGAGTGCAATGTTCATTTCTATTTATTCTCTTTCAGAATTCCAAGCAGAATGTGTAGCCACATCTGGTCAAACTGATATATCAAAGCTGAATGAACGCTATTTCAGACTGTTGGATTATTTGTATAGAGAGAGGTATTTAAACATCCAATAAAGTGGTACCTGACGACTCAAGGACTGTGTCACGATATGTATAGACAGATCGTGGTCCCACTATAGGTGGGACCAGCTATATATACCACACTACTATATGAGAGTCTGCTCATGCTAGGGTAAAGCAAGTCTCTGTCAGAGGTCTTGTCACACTTGGGTGGAGCAGGTCTCATAGCAGTCTGGTTACATTTGAGTGGTTACAAACCACAGTGCAGTCTGGTCACACTTGAGCAGAGCAGGTAAGTCTTTTTCGAGTCACACTTGGGTGGAGCAGGTTACTGTCCAGTCTGGTCACACTAGGGTGGAGCAGGTCACAGTCCAGTCTATCTGGTCACACCTGGGTGGAGCAGGTTACTATCCAGTCTGGTCATACTTGGGTGGAGCAGGTTACTGTCCAGTCTGGTCACACTTGGGTGGAGCAGGTTACTATCCAGTCTGGTCACACTAGGGTAGAGCAGGTCACTGTCCAGTCTGGTCACACTTGGGTGGAGCAGGGTACTATCCAGTCTGGTCACACTAGGGTGGAGCAGGTCACAGTACATACTGGTCACAATAGGACAGAGCAGACTGGTCACACTAGGGTTCAGCAGGTCACAGTACATATACTGGTCACAATAGGACAGAGCAGACTGGTCACACTAGGGTTCAGCAGGTCACAGTACATATACTGGTCCCAATAGGACAGAGCAGACTGGTCACACTAGGGTTCAGCAGGTCACAGTACATATACTGGTCCCAATAGGACAGAGCAGACTGGTCACACTAGGGTTCAGCAGGTCACAGTACATATACTGGTCCCAATAGGACAGAGCAGACTGGTCACACTAGGGTTCAGCAGGTCACAGTACATATACTGGTCCCAATAGGACAGAGCAGACTGGTCACACTAGGGTTCAGCAGGTCACAGTACATAT